GTTATTATACAACTAGGTTGAGTTTTTGTATAATTTTATGTTTTTTTGGTGTAGTTTTGTACTTTTCAAGGTGAAACATAATCAAGGATTAATTGGATCAATCATTCAATCAAATAGCAAGATCAAATGAGTAATTTTTTCATGAAAACAAAGCCTATCGAAGGGAAGTCTTTAAATGAAGTCTTCATATGAGCCCCAGAAGAGCTCACAGGACAAGTTTCATTCCAAATATAAGAAAAAAATTGTGATTGTGCGAACCATCGTTGGGCCGCCACCTGACCAAATTCAACAAGTCACTTCCAAAACCCATGGAGAGGTTATTTGTGGGCCAAGAGCACACTATAGGAAGACAAGGGGTGGCATTAAACCCCAAGCCCATAGAATCTTCTGGAATATTCCTTATTTTATTTCGTTCCCAAGTCAAGGAAACCTAAGCTCCAATGGTACAAGTATGCTTTTGACCGTGTTGTAGGAGAAAAAAGCCTTAGAAGCCTTTCTCCTATGTACTATGAATAGAGAGTCAGGCTATAAGAAACCTTTCATCATCGATGGTGGTACCATCCTCTTATCTTATGTATCGCTAGTTCAAATTTTTGTTAAGTAAGTGAATTCTTTTGAAGCTTTATGCATCTTCTTTCTATAATTTAATGAGATGGTTATATCATTAGATGCTTTAGTCATTCAATGCTTATATCATTAGATGCTTCAGTCATCTGATCCTTATACCATTTGACGCATATATGCTTATACCATTCGATGCATATATCATCTATTATGTGCTACTATGGTATTGCTTCTAATATAATGTTAAGTGTTAGGAAACTACTCTTATGTTACGTGTATTGTCTTATGCATGTATCGAGGGGAATGATAAACCATTCATGCTTAATACCCTAGTTATCAATGCTATAGCCATACTATGGCTCATAGAGACCTTAAAGTAGTCAATTTGCTATCCATACTTCCTTGTTTGATTAATTAGTTCATGGCATGAAGCGAAAGCACACATTCGCTCATTGTCGTTCCTCTCTCATATGATGAAAGCTCAGTTAGGAATGCTTTAATGGAACGGATAGGGTTATATGATAGAAGATGTGTTGATATATATCATTATTGAGATTGAGATGTATGATCATCTAGATTCCAAACCAAGCCAAACTTCAGATACGCAATTGATGCATGAAATCGATTCCAAACTAAGCCAAACTTCCGAAATTCGAAGAACGGTAACAAAGAATATTGAAAAGAGAAGATTAAAGAAAAAAGGGGAAGATAAAACAAGGGCGGAGAAGGACATGGTACCTCCTTAACTTGTGAGCTTTGAGATTTGGTCAACAGATTTGGGATTGGTATTCAAATCTGGGAATGGTGAAGCGAGGAGTTGAGGTTGCAGATGGGGTTGGGAGCCTAGAAAGAAGAAAAGCAAGACTAGTTGCTAAGGGCTACACACAACAAGAAGGCATTGACTACCAAGATACATTTGCCCCTGTTGTGAAAATGACTACAATCAGATTGTTTCTAGCCCTGTCCTCTATCCACAACTGGCATATGCATCAGTTGGTCATCAACAATGCATTCCTCCATGGATATTTGGAGGAATGTGTCTACATGAAACTCCCAGATGGTTACATACCACCAGCATGAATTAAGAACCTTGTTTGTCGACTTAAGAAGTCACTTTATGGTCTCAAGCAAGCATCAAGACAGTGGTTCTCTAAGCTTGCTGAGAAGCTACAGTCTCAGGGTTTCACATCTAGCAAAGTGGACCATTCACTGTTTTGCAAGGCTACATCAACATCCTACACTTGAATTCTTGTCTATATTGATGACCTAGTCATTGGAGGCAATGACCTGCCTAAAATCATCAACATCAAGGCCTACTTACACCAAGAATTCAGTATCAAGGACTTAGGTGATTTAAAATTCTTTCTGGGCATTGAGGTATCAATATCTACTTCTGGCATTCACATTTCTCAAAGAAAATATACATTGGAGATTCTGGATGATGCTGCCATGATCAACACCAAACCAGTCACCACTCCCATTGATTACAAGACTCACTTGACTGCCCAACATGATGACACATACCCTGACCCAGAACAATACAAACGACTTGTTGGGAAGCTCATTTACCTCACCACAATGAGGCCTGACATCAGCTTCGCAACCCAACAAGTAAGTCAATACATGTCTAACCCTAGTCATTCACATTTCAAAGCTGTGACCAGAATACTGAGGTACCTCAAATCTGCCCCCTCCAATGGTCTCTTCTTCCCTTCTTCCTCTACTCTGCACTTGAAGGCCTTTAGTGACTCTGATTGGGCTGCATGCGTTGACACACGCCACTCTGTCACTGGCTTCTGTGTCTACTTGGGCGACTCCCTGGTGTCCTGGAAATGCAAGAAGCAGACCACCATCTATCGTTCCTCCTGTGAAGCAGAGTACCGTGCCCTTGCATACACCGCATGTGAAGTGCAATGGCTACTTTACCTGCTTCAAGACTTTAAAATTCCTCATCCTCAAGCAGCATCCCTCTACTGTGACAACCCATCGGCCATCTACATTGCTGAAAACCCGACGTTCCACGAACGGACGAAACACATCGAACTGGACTGTCACTTCGTCCGAGAGAAGCTTCAAGACGGCACAATCAAGGTTCTCCACGTCTCCACTGTTCTCCAGCTGGCCGATCTCTTCACCAAAGCTCTCTCCCCGACCATCTTTCACCACCTTCTCTCCAAGCTTGGTGTCCATAACTCTGCCCACCAGCTTGCAGGGGGCTATCATAGAAGAATTCAAATTCTTCTCAACCCCGCCATCCAGACGACGACGTTCTGCCCCAAAGGCACTACGACACCGCTTCGACAACTGACGAAACTCAACACCTCGACGACAGCGTTTCACCAAGTCAACAGAGATCAAGCTGGACCTGGAGCGACATCGTTTCAGGGAAAAACAAGACCAGATAGACATTTACACATTTGGTCCCTGAACTTCTGTTTTTCTTCACTCTACCTGTTTTGGGTTGTACTTGTAGTTGAAGGAACCTTGTCTTCTTCTACAATTATGCTAGCTCACTTGTACTACTGTAAACAGCTATATAAGCTGAAACATCAATGAGACAATCCAAGTTCTTTAGCGTTTCCAACACAAAAGCGTTGTTAACATATATTGTTTGGCGGCAATTCATGCAGTATGAGGAACGTCGACAAGAATTTGATTGTAACGCTAATAGCATATACCAAACACAGGAATTCATTTGACAATGAATTATAAACAGGAATTCATTTTAAAACGAAATGAATTCTGAATTCATTTGGTACCAAACTATCTGTTAATTTATTAAATAGTTAGGCAGATTGCTTGGATAAGTATGATATGATGTTGGGTGGGTATTAATTAATTAGATTGAGAACGAGTATGGGAATGTGATGGGGCCATACGGAGATGCCAGAAAAGAATACATCAAATGGTGTGCTAATATGGCCGACTCCTTGAACATTGGAGTTCCATGGTTCATGTGCCAACAATGAGATGCTCCACAGCCCATGGATCAGATCAACACATGCAACGGTTTGTACTGCGACGACTTTATCCCTACCAACCCAAACACCCCTAAAACGTAGACAGAAAACTGGACTGGCTGGTATCTACCTACTACTTCATTGATTATAATTATATATCTCTGCCTAGCTTACAAAATTATTATAATTTCCTCTTTGTAAATCTCCATTTAATTATGTTTTTATCCATGTATTTATAAGGTATATTATATACATGGACAATTATGGCTCAAATGAAAATGATGACTTGCTCAGGTTTAAGAATTGGGGTGGCAGAAATCCACATAGAACCGCAGAGGATGTTGCGTATGCTGTTGCGAGGTTTTTCCAAACGGGCGGCACCTTCCAAAACTACTACATGGTCAGTCAATGTAGGGCATTTTTGGGATTAGTGTGTGCATGCACACTGCCATTATTATTAATTAATAATCTAAAACGTTGTTCATTTATATGCCCTTCTTCAATTATTGAGAATGCAGATCCATGGAGGTACCAACATCGGCAGAGAAGCTCGAGGACCCTACATTACTACTACCTACGATTACGACGCACCGCTCGACGAATATGGTAATCTTAGTCCCTTCTCCTCTATATTGATTTTGAAAGGTGATCATACATTACTACTACTAAATTACTATGCATGAATGCAGTAACACTGCTGGAAATCCGAACCAGCCAAAGTATGGCCATTTGAAGCGCCTTCATTGACGTGTTGCATGCCATGGAACAAACTCTCACTCATGGCGATATCTCCACCACTAACTACACCGACTCTCTTCACGTATGTGTATATATATATATTCCCCTATCCAACCCCACGGCGCCATTTAAATAGGAGCACTACTACTATACTATATAGTATTGGTGCTTTAATGTACAACTTGAAGTTGTACCATTAGAATTATTAAACTGCAAGCACCAAAAAATTCGGAACACTGTTCATTAAAAATAAATCGGAATTACTATTCACTATGAGATTTTTGAATTTCCTGTGGGCAAATCTAGCTAAACCTCTGTGGACCACTTTGGGCTGGCCAAGATATATGACTAGGACACATAAAAATCCTGCACCTGTTTCCCTCTCCTCGCTCTTCTCTCCTAACCTCTCTTTCCACTCTTTTCTGTCAAATCAAAGTACATATTGCCCACACCTTTTCTCCTCTCCTCTCTCCATCTCTCTTTCCACTCTTCTCTCCAAAATCAAAATATGTAGTAGGAAGAATGGGGAAAATGATGAAACAACCCAAGAAAAAATAAAAGTGACGTGGACCATAAGTAGGGAATATATTGTTTGGGCAGTGGTTACTGAGCACACATTACATTAAGGTTAGTTCTTTTTTATGCAATAGTTTAATTAAATTTGATATTTTTCATAACTTGAATTTATTATTAGACCACATAGTATAAAAGATTTGTGTAACACTATTTTAGAAAATTTATGTAATTACAAATATTAAGTTCTAAAATTCACCATAAGCTCTTTATTATATGCATTATACTAAGGTTTTTTAAGGTCAATGATTTTTTTTACTCAACCGTTTATTCTAATATAATATTTTGTTAACTTGATATTATTATTAGACCACACAATAAGGTAAATTTGTGTAAACAGTATACTATAATAGTTACGTAACTACAAATATATTATATAAACTTATGTAGGGGGTATTTATTTCTTATGTATCACTTAAACAAAACGTATTGTGTAATTATTCCATAATTATTCGCAAATATACGTTTGAACTCTTTTTATGTAATAGTTTAATAAAATTGATATTTTTCTTAGCTTGATTTTATCATTAGACCATACAATATGATAGATCTTTGTAACACTATTCTATAAACTTTATGTAATTACAAATATATTATATAAAGCTCCAAAATTCACCATAAGCTCTTTATTATTTGCATTATACTAAGGTTTTGTAAGATTAACTTCACTTAACAGAGTTTTCGTTAACATAAGTTTGAACTATTTTTATGTAATAGTTTAATAAAATTTGATATTTTTATTAACTTGATTTTATAAATAGACCCCAAAGTATCAAAAAAAAATTAACACTATTCTATAAAAGTTATGTAATTACAAATATATTATATAAAGCTCCAAAATTCACCATAAGCTCTTTATTAAATACATTATACTAAGATTTGGTAAGGTCAATGAATTTTTAAATAAGAGTTTATTCTAATATAATATTTTGGTTAACTTGATTTTATTATTAGACCGCACAGTACGAAAACTTGCGTAACAGAACACTATGACAGTTATGTTTATAAATACATTACATAAAACTTATGGATGCAGTATTTATTTCTTATGTATCACTCAAACAAGACATATTGGGTAACCATACCGTAATTAGTCGGTAATATAAGTTTGAACAAAAATTTATTTATTATTAACTAAATTGTTGATAGCTCATCAATTTACATTACATGAATGTTCTGTAAGGTAACTTATTCTTTTACATTACCATTTAATCATGAGACACTATAAAATTTATAGAGGGATATCTATTTTTTATATCAGTTAAACAAACGTATGACATATGTCATTCCTAATGGTAAAGATTTTGTAAACATGATATTGTACCCCAATAATTTTTTGAATTATTTAATTTCAACTTAATTATTAAATAAGTGGATGAACTCTTAAAAATAATTGATTTCTTACCGCTGCGAAGTGCGGGCAAAAGACTAGTAACATTAAATGTATAAATTTAGGTTGTACCACAAAGGAATTTGTATCATTATGTTATGGTACAACTTTACAACTTGATGTTGTACCATCACATAAAGGTACAAGTTCAAGTTGTACCATAAAAGAATTTGTACAAAAAGTATAGTACAATTTGAAGTTGTACCATAACGTTAAAGGTACAATTTCAAATTGTACCATATAGATAAAAATCTATAGCACCAATACTATATAACATTGTAAAATTCCTCATTTAAATAGTTCTCCAAATACAATGTTATGCTTGTTGCAGTTGACCAAATACACGACGAAGGAAGCTTCAAGCTGCTTCATTAGCAACAAGAACCACACCCAGGATGCCAAAGTAACATTTCAAGGGAATGAATACTGTATTCCTGCGTGGTCGGTCTCCATCTTCTCCGACTGTGCCCACGAGGCATACAACACCTTCAAACTCACCACCCAAACATCCAAGCCAAGCCCAACCAAGTCCAAGCCAAGCCCAGCCGGCCTTTCTGAAATGGTCCTGAGGCCAGAGTACCTCCACGATATCGTAGTTTTTGGCCTGGGAAAGATCTCTACCCATAAGATTGTTGATCAGAAAGACATGACCGACGATAAGAGTGATTACCTTTGGTACATGACCACGTAAGTACCATAATTAATAATAATTTAATGACCTGCACGCAATTGATGAATCCTTGATTTTCTAGTCTCCACTTATATATCTTTTCCAGTGTCCATGTCGGTCCGCATGATCTAATTCATGGTCATAACGTGTCTCTTCGAGTCAATAACACATGGCATGTTCTTCATGCCTATGTTAACGGGCATTGTCTTGGTACGTAACATTCTGATTCCGGAACAGCATTTAATGTGAAATCACTTGTTCAAGGACAAGTTGCTAATGTTTTGTGTACTTAATTAATATTTTTTATATATTGGGTTGGGTATACAGGCACCCTATACAACGAGAAGAATGTATTTGAGGGAAGCGTGGAGTTAAAGTTTGGAAAGAATGTAATTGCTATAAAGAACCAGGAAATCAAACGAAAACGAACAGCAGAATTTAACGTGGTATCCCTGACAGCACAAGACTAATCCACGGGAGAGACGACACTCTCCAAACAACTTCACTATAATCAAATCGGCTGACCCTAGTACAGAGGATGGCTTGGCAATATATAGTCTATGGAGATACACGTACATGACATATTACATAAACACACCAGACATATGGCAAGTTACAAGTTGGTACCCAAACTATAAACTTCAACACCCTCCCTCAAATTGATGTGCTGTACGCAAATTCAATTTGGATGACAGATACCAATGCCTGCTTGATGAGACAGCCTTCGTCAAAAGATCTGTTGTCTGGTCTTTTGTAGATAGGTGCCCAACTTGTATCAATCCATCTGCCACCAGTTGTCTAATGTAATGAACGTGGACGTCAATGTGCTTGGTCCTGTCATGTAACACAGGATTAACTGCAACTATATTGCACTCGTGTTATCCCCATATATCCTCATTGGGATTCGACATTCAACCCCCAATTCACTCAGAAGACGATGATGCCAAACCATATCGGAACTCACCTCAGACATAGACTGATACTCCACTTCAGTTGATGACTTCGATACTCGATCCTGTTTACGACACTTCCAAGATACAAAGGACTGACCGATCCTGACACACCATCCTGACGTTGACCTGCGAGTATCTAAACAACCAGCATAATCAGCGTCAGCGAATGCCTCAATGGTCAGATCACTTGTTGCTGGAAAGAACAACCCCACATCCTGTGTCTGCTTGAGATAACATAGAAGTCTATGAACCGCGGCCAAATGGAAATGCGTCGCTACACCCACATACTGACTCACCACCTGAACATCATAAGAAATATCAGGTCTTGTGTGATTTAAGTAAATTAAACTTCCTACCAAACTGCGATACTGGTGTTGATCTTTCATTACTTCCCCCCCTTCACGGCTCAGTTTCAGGTTCTGCTCCATCGGCGTGGAACACTGGAACACAATCAAGAAACCGGGAGGACTCTAAAAGATCAAGGATATATTTGCGTTGGGAAACAAATAACCTCTGTGGAGAACGCTTCACTTTCAAGCCCAAGAAGTATGATACTTCTCCCATTTCCTTCAAATTAAAAGCACTCCGCAAGACTTCTGTGACCTCGCGGATGCCCCCAACATCACTACCAGTGACGATCTACAGAATAACTATGCCATCTACAGTACTCCGCGTAAAGAGCGAAGGATCATTCTGACTCTGTGAGAAACCAGCCCGCAGAATCGTACCATGGAACTTGTCAAACCATGCCCGTGGCGCCTATTTTAGGCCATATAATGAACGATTCAATCGACAAACCATGGTAGAATCGCCTTTCTCATATCCAGGAGGACGTTCCATATAAACTGTTTCCTTCAAATCACCTTGGAGAAATGCATTTTTCACGTCAAGTTGAAGAAGTGACCACCCTTTCATTGCCACGACTGCAAAACACACCTGGCAGTCTGCATCTTGAAAACTGGTGCAAACGTCTCATCATAATCGATACCATATTCCTACTTGAAACCCTGAGCCACCACCCGAGCCTTAAAGCGCTCAATCTCTCCATCCGGTAACATCTTAATGTTATAAACCCACCGGCTTCCAATGACCAACATATCTGGCCGCTGGGGCACCAAATCCCATGTACGATTTTCTTCAAGAGCATCCATTTCTACCCGCATAGCCGCGTTCCATCGCGGATCCCCAACTGCTTGAGAATACCGTGTCGGAATGAAGATTGGAGTAGTAGAGAAGCCAACAAAATCTTGCATACGTAGAGGTGGTTGTCCCAAGTTAGCACGCGTTGACCGACGTAAGGGAATAAGTGGTGAGGCTGGAAGTTCAGGATTGTCTTCGTCACTACCCTGCGAGCTGGCCGAACTTGTGGGAGAGGCAGAAATAGAAGAGGACAAGGAGCAAGGGGAGCTCCCTAATTCAGCCGAAGTGAACGAGTGTGATGGAGTGGGAGAAGCTTCCTGTGAAGCACTCAAGGAAGAAGAGCTAGCAGTTGAACTGGCGCTAGATGTTGTAGAAGGGACAGGGGGTTGCTGCACTTCGAGGACAGGAGTCTCGAAGTAAGGCAGGGATGTGAGAAATTCCAATGATGATGCCGAGCTTGCCTCAGCATGCGACGAGGTATAGTACATAGTCGTCTCAAGAAACTTCACATGATATCCCACTCTCATATGACGACCAACGGGATCATAACATAGATATCCCTTGTGTTTGTCACTATACCCGACAAACACACACCGCGCCACTTTAGGCGCTAACTTATGACGATCCTTCTTGGGCAACAGAACATAACATGTGCAGCCAAAGACCCGAAGAAAAGAATAGTCTGGAACTCTCGAGTAGAGCATCTGATATGATGATTTTTGACCCAATAATGGCGTGATCGGACGATTAATTAGATACACGATTGAATGCAATGCTTCGGCCCAGAAACCTGTAGGAACACGCGAATGAAAGAGAATAGCTCTAGCCAGCTCCAATACATGGAGGTTCTTACGCTCGTCTACCCCATTCTGTTGGGAGACACCGGGACACGATTGCTGCGGAAGGATCCCTACGGATTTAAGGAACAAGAGCAGATCATTAGACATGAATTCCCTGCCTGGATCAGATCTTAGTATCTTCACAATCTTGCCAAATTGAGTCTGAACCATTTGAATAAATTCCTTGGAAACCGTAATGAGATCAGATTTGCGTTTCAGAAAGTACACCCATGTATACTGCGTATTATGATCAATAAACAACGCTAAATATCGCAACCCCAACCAAGAAATAACTGGTGATGGTCCCCAAAGGTCGGTATGCACCAAATCGAAAGGATCATCAGATAAACCACTCAGCTGTGAAAACACTTAATTTATCGGGTAACACATTCTGCCGAAACATAGTCTTTAATCTCCCTGCATGAGGGTGACCCAGTCTACGATGCCACAATTCCCATAAAGAATTACCAACTGACACATTTGAACTATAAGCTGAAAAATTCACAGTAGCTTGTTTATTTGGAAAACAACCCAAAGTGTCCAATCCACACAACACCCGCTGCGCAACTTGCTTCCCAGACTCAACCCACACGTCTCGCCCTGAAGACACCCATGAACTGGACGCCATGCACGCCGCCAACCTGCCCACGTCACCCGAATGAAGATCTTCAAGAACAAATGTACGGCCTTGTTTACTTCCCCTCCCGATCACCCTCCCCGTCGTCCGGTCCTGCACAACACAACCATGGGAGTCAAACATGATAGTACAACCATCATCTGTCAGCTAACCCACCGAGACCAAATTAGGACGAAGTTGAGGGACGTAAAGAGTATGGGGAAGAGTGATCGAACCCGTCTGAACTGTACCCGAATCTACTGCCAGAATCGTGGCACCATTGGCCACTTGAAGACTCATAGAATCAACTAGTCGTAAGTGCTTAAACATAGTACTATCACCGGTCATGTGATTAAATGCAGCTGAGTCTAAGAGCCATCGAGCGAATTTACCAGGCACAGTAGTGGTCGCAAAGGCGGTAGATAAAGCCTCTTGCAATGCATCCTGAACTAAGCGCCGAATCTGATCAGGGGAGAGGGAGGCAGCTGCAGTGCTTTCCGTAGAAGCACCCACAATGGAGGACTCTCTAGTGACGGAATAAGTCGTGCCACGTGAGGATGAAGAGGCGGGATGATGTTTGCCACGCCTGCTCAGGGTCTGTCATTCAAGAACAATGTGACCCAAACTCTTGCAGTAGTTACAGAAGTTCTTCTTGCAATGAATCTGAATATGACCAGGTTCGCGGCAAAAATGACAGATCAGTTCACTATGATTGGGGCAAGTGAACTGAGGGCAAGACGCCGCAGCAGGCCTTCCCACCGCAAAGGAGGATTCAGCATGAGAACTCTGGCCATCAATTTGGGATTGACTTTTCAGCCGTGTCTCTTCTCTCAAGATTTCATCAATCACATCCTCAATTCGAGTAACATTCCGATGAATCAATGATGCTCGAATTGATTCAAATTCAGATCGGAGCTGCGCTAAGACCTGCAAAACACGAGTCCGAGCTCGCTCAACAACAACCGCATCATATGCAGCAGCAGGAACAAGATTAGCCATCAATAAATCATACTCGATCCACAAGTGAAGACTAGCCTGATAGTACCCCCGAATGTCACGATCTCCTTGAGCTAAGCGACCAATTTCAGTCTCCAATTCAAATTGTCGGGAAGCACTATTCTGAGAATAGGTAGTGCAAATATGCTGCCACATATCATGCGCAGTATGAAAACGGCGTAAGCTCAGAGCTGTAGGGATGTCCACAGATCGCGCGAGCCACATAATAAGCTGCGCATTAGCAGCATGCCAATCTTCCACATCACGAGCCGCAGCATCCGCAGCCGGCTGCTTCGTTTCGCCCATCAACACAGGGAGAAGTCTCTTACCATCAAAAAAGTTCCGAAACTGAAACTCCCAAAGTGCGAAATTCGTGTCGTCAAACTTAACAGAGACGAAATCCATTTTAGACATATCCATAATAACCAAGAACTACCACAAGCAAGTGATAAGAACTACCTGACACCAAACGCAGCCCTGAACAAAACCAAAAGGAAACCTCTCGTCAAACAAAAGTAAGGCGACGAAACAAATCCCCAGCCAACCAACACAGCCCCGCGAAACCCTAGCGACAGCAACCAAAATAACCCTTCGAGCAGCACCCAATGAAGAGAAGACAAGAGCTGCGCAAACCAAAATCGTGATGAAAACCAACTAACCTTTAGAGCAGAGGCTCTGATACCATGTAAAGAACCAGGAAATCAACCGAGAACGAACACCAGAATTTAACGTGGTATCCCTGATAGCACAGGACTAATCCACGGGAGAGACGACACTCTCCAAACAACTTCACTATAATCAAATCGGCTTACCATAGTACAGAGGATGGGTTGGCTATATATAGTCTATTGAGATACACGTACATGACATATTACACAAACACACTAGACACATGGAAAGTTATAAGTTGGTACCCAAACTATAAACTTCAACAATTGCACTGTTGAGCGCTACGGTTGGACTCAAGGTGATTCATTTCCCTCATTCTCCTACAAAGTACAAGCTAGCTAGGTAGCTAGCTAGAGATGATTGCTCCTACTTAAATCAAGCTACCTATACCAATTATGTTATTTAATCAAACCTTGCAATGCATAACGTTGTCAGAATTATGGATCCTTCTTCGATGAAACTCCAGCCGGAATCGTGAGCCCCGTCCAACTGGTGAGAAGGGGAGGTGACATGACCATCATCAAGGACATGTTGGCGCACAAATGGTCGTACAAGGTTGGGCTTCATGGGCTCATCGCCAACAACAACCGCCGCCATGTTACTCATTGGAGAAAGGATAATCTCGTCATCAACCGGAGAATGACTTGGTACGAGGTATGTAATTAGTAGTCTATTAATAATACAATTACTATGATGCTAATTTTCCATTCAGTCATATAACATATATATGCGTACGTAACGTAACGTACGCGTTGTTTTGTTTGGCATGCATACAGGCTAGTTTTGAGGCACCGCTGGGAAGTGATCCTGTTGTGGTGGACTTGAAGGGAATGGGCAAGGGAGTTGGTTGGGTAAACGGACACAATGTAGGCAGGTATTGGCCCAGTTACCTCACCCCCAACGACTGCTGCAACAACACGTGTGACTATCGTGGCCCAAATTCTTCTGAAAAGTGCAACACCAATTGCGGCCACCCAACTCAACGATGGTAATTTGATTTCTCTGTTTTGCAATGGATCGGACGGTGGATGAATGAATATTAAGCGTGCGTCGTTACATGCGATCCATGTATATAGGTACCATGTTCCCTGTTCCTTCCTGAAGGATTCAGGCAACAGTCTGGTTCTATTCGAAGAATTTGGGGGCAACCCATCCAGCATTTCGTTCCAGACGGTGGTGGTAGGAAGCGTCTTCTCCCATGTCGAAGAGAAGAACACCCTTGAGCTATCCTGCAGCGAGGAGCGGCCTATTTCGGCCATCGAATTCGCCAGCTTCGGGAGTCCTCAGGGTGCTTGTGGCTCAACATCCATCTTTACCAAGGGCTCATGTGATTCCAACAAGGACGTGCTCTCCCTTATCAAAAAGCACTACAAAAAATAGACTTTTAGTGACGGTCGGTTAGCATGCTAACCCCCCTTGGGGTTGGAAAATGACACCCCCCTAGTATATTAAATACCACTATAGAATTTAATACACACATTAAATACACATTAGGAATTAAATGCACCATATTAATTATTTGTTTTTTTTTTCAAATTAAAACCTACACTAAATACATTTTCTCTCACTATATCTGATTTTTCCTTTTTCAGCAGTCTCCGATCACCTGACTTCCTCCGACCGCCACACTTCTCCGGTGAAAATCCCATCGGCAAACTCCCTCCGACCACCTCCAAAAAATATACCACTGCACTGATACGTTGTACCACTGTACTGGTAGATATACCACTGCACTGGTAGCGATATCAGTGCACTGGTACCAATGTCATATCTGAGTATCAGTGTAGTGGTACAAATACCAGTAAAGTGGGACAACATATCAGTGCAGTGGTATATTTTTGCATGTCACCAGAGAGTGTTTGTCGGCGGATTTTACCGGCGAAGTGTGGTGGTCGGAGGAAACTTGGTGGTCGGAGGTTGCTCGGAAAGGAAGAATCAGAGATAGGAATGAGAAAGATCAAAGATGAAAGAGAGAATTGTATTTTGTATATGTTTAGATTTTTTTTTAAAACAAGTAATTAATGTGGTGTATTTAATGCTTACTTTGTATTTAATATCAGAACATTTATTATGTTTACTTTCATTAATACTTGTCAATGATTAATGAAAAATCGACCAATTAAAAGGGGGGTGTCAAAAAAATCAACCCCTTAAGGGGGTTAGCATGCTAACCCATCCCCGACGAAAACTTTGTGACGGACAAAACTTTCGTCGCCAAAGGTTCACTTTCAGCGGCGAATTTAGGATTTCCTACGCGAATTGTCCATCTTTTCGTCGACCAGTAGAGCGATGCTTTCGCGACGACATTTCACCTTTACGCGACAGATGTATCCGTCGCAGAAGGTAATGGGAGATTGTGTGACAAAAAATTTGCGTCGCAGAAAAGTTAGAAAGATTTTGCGACGAAGAAGATCTGTCGCGGAAGTTGGATACGATTTGCAACGATGATGATTCGTCGCATTAAATCAATGTAGAATTGGCGACGATACTATTCGTCGCAAATTGCGAAAGTGGCATCGTTTTGTGGTCCACCCCTTTTAGCTGTATTGATCGATTCCTATCCAATAATGTGTCGTTTTGGGGAAATAGTTCCTGTTGATTTGCAAGTCTGAAATTCATTCTAACTGTCTTATTTGTTTTTTCTTTCCTACAAGGGGAAATCTGTTTGTCATCAACCGGAGCAACTCAATTGAAAGCCAACTTGGATATTCCAGAAGTTCTTGAGTTTAAGGAAAAGTATGTGTGGTATCCGCGACCTGAGTGCTTTTAGCTGCAGTTTACTTCGACTCCCCATTAAGTCCAGTCATTGTCAAAATGCAAGAATGAACTTAGAGTAGTTTTTCTTCTGTTTCCTTGCATTCCTTCTATTGTAGTTATTTGATTGAGTGAATCTAGGATCTTTACAGTTGCCGGCTGAAACAGATTATGGATCTGCTTCTTCATTTGTTTCTAGGGACACAAATATGACAGCACCTGTGCTGGTTCCTGAAGTCCCAGCTGCAGAGATTCCAAAAATTTCACTAGCTCAACTAAATGATTTCAAAAGCAATGAAGCTCAGAGTGTATGTTTGTTTTTCTATATAAGTGTTTACATTTCAGCACCTTCTTTTTTCACCTTAACCCAAGTTTTTTGTCTATGTTTTGCATAAACTTCAGGACAAACTATTTTCTGTTGAAGGAAAGGTGACTCAAGTTCGTCCTAATTGGTGTTACATGGGATGTGTTGCATGCCCACGGAAGGTGGAGGAGGATCTCGATGAGTATTTTTGTGGTCACTGTAAGACAACATCTTCTATTGCTAAAGCAAAGTAAGCTGATCAACTTTTTCCTTGCTTTGTACATTCTGCATTTTACACGTTTTGTTGTCTGAGGTTGGTATCAAAGTAATATGTTAATTCAAAATTATGATGAGATATGGGGATGTATGATTTTTTTTTCTTTTTTCCATGATCACTGTAGGTATAGAGTTAAATTCCAGCTGGAAGATAATACTGGAGAGGCTGATTTTGCCATCTTGGAGCATGAAGGGCTGCGCTTTTTTGGAATAATGGCTGATGAGTTATTCCAATCAAACCAGAGGAACAAAGAACCTCTTCCACCCCAGATTCATCAAATTGTCAACATGACACTGAAGCTGACTGTTAAACTAACTCAGTTTAACATCATGAACCCACAAACTGAGATATCTGTGGTCAGCATTGACCATCATCCTCTTAAGGTAAATGAGCTTCCAGCTCCAGAACAGTTTGCTTTTGTTACAGCCTAGCAAATCAAGTTCATAGCTTTAACCTATCTTATTATGTCTACCACGTAACTTGCAGCAACTCAATAAGGATCCATGTTCAAAGGACCTTGGAGGAGCAACCTCAGATGGACAGAAAATAGAAGTTGCTCTTGATTGTGAGGCTGACAATGGGAAGTAGTGTTGTTGCTGCCTTGCTCCACCTAATACCCTCCATATCAAGCATTCTGTTTAGTATGATTGTTTCCTCCATGGGATATTCACTTTGATCTTTTTATTCAGATCCTTATTGAAACTCAGGTTATAGGCTATTTCTGTTCTGAATTTTCGTTTTATGTTTAGTATGAATTGCGAACAATATTATGGTTCTTTGCTTTGAATGCTTTTCAATCCATTTGACAGTTTTATCTTTATGGATTCCCTTTGTTATGAATTGCATCATAACTGTCAACGCCATCTGAGGCTTAGTCCAATTAGTTCAGCTATTGTCAGGTATTACAGCTTTTGTAATATAAACAGGTGTTGGTGTCATTCAGCTTTTCTTGAATTAATGTTTCATTTGTTACTGATATTCGATGCTTAAGCATGTTGGCCTATAGATGGTTAGGGATAAAATAAAGTACCATTACCCTGTCCATTTGCTGTGTGAATGATGATAATTCAATCGTAACATCTGCTGGTGGTATGCAATAAGATCTGTTTTCTTTGTTTGAGGGGTTCATCATTGGCAGCATTGATATGTTATTATAGTAAGTGCATTATGGATTAGTTTGCTGCATTATTCTGTTCTTTTATTGTGTTTGCTGCATTTTCTGTCTTCATACGATGTTTGCTGTCCATTTTTTAATGGATTTTCTTTGCTGCATTATTTTGTTTTCTTATTGAAATGAGTTTGTTTCACCCTTGCTAGCAGTAGTTAGGGTAGAATGTTTACTCTAATTATAGTTGAACCATTACAAAGTAAAGTACTTAACACACAATTTGCAGGAATGGTGAATCTTGAAATGGATTAGCAGACTCGGGTTTTTAAGAAATTCACTGACCTCTTGATCTCTTTCTCTCTTCTACTTCAAAATCACCATAAAGACTCATGTTGTAGCAATAGTTGAGGTTACTGTTTATTGACATGGTTGCTTTTATCAGACTGTACATTGCTATGTATCTGTTTAGCTCTTGCTTATATTGGCTGATTTGTATTATCATTTCTATATGTTGTGTTCAGCAGAAGCATGATTGAGAGGATTGTGAAACGGATTTGATTTGAGTGGTGTATGGAATTGTCTGAAGTATCCATTTATTTGTGTTTGGTTTAACATTTAGCTGCTTGATGGTCTTATCAGTTTAGAATCTAGACTTGAAATGGTTGGTTTTCTGCACTTATTGTTAAGCTTGAATTGAATCTGGTAGAAACGGTTAAGGATTATTTTTTTGTTGTCTATTGGATTTTCACTCTTAATTAGTAAGCGATAGATGTTATGACTTGGATCATGCTAAGTTACTGCACTTGAAACTAAGTAACGTGCAGCCAGGAAAATCAATAAAAGAAAGTTATAACCTTTTGATTGCAATGTATGGATGAAGCAAAGCATGCATCTGTTTGTATTTGTATTTGTTGTTAAACATTTGTGCAAGCAGATTCTCAACGTCCCAACTGTTGAGATTACAAAAAAATTTCATTGTTCAGGTCAATGATTTCAAAACCATGGAATGGACATTTATGGATTCCAGATTAGCTTCGCTTCATAACTTCCTCCTACTACTTCAACAACACACTTGATCTAATAAATGATAGCCTTTTGTTTACTTGAGTCAAAAGTGTGCAGCAGGCATTCTTCCCCATTTATGCAGTACTTAATTTGGAGAATTGATTTTTGCTATAATTTAATCTTTTTCATTTACCTTTTTCATCAAGTATTTCTTGACTACTCACACTTTTTCATCGTTTCTTCGAAGTTTTACAAGACACCGGCCAACGGGCCGGGCTCAATGCTAGTTTTATTTAAAGCCACTACATCTATCACAATTCACGAAATCATCTCCAACCTTAAAAAAAAAATCCCTAGCTCTTCCAAATCGAACCCCCTTCTTCGACCTCCTCTGACAAATCCCGAGCTCCCAACACCTTCTCCAAGTCTAGATCCCTTGTCGCGGTGCCCATCATCTCCTCAGTGTCGCCGGATCGACGATGTAGTTCAAAGTTGCCGATGTCAAAGCCGCAGTACGAGGGTTTTCTATCTCTGTCTTTGCCCATTTAGCAAAATGGTGCCGCTGTTGTGGGGGATGGGCGATTTTGGAGGGTGTTCGGGGCTGTCCCGTCGATCAATAGTCCCCAACCTTTCATGGCCAGATTTGGCGGTTTGAGTGGCTCTCCATCAGCTTCGCCTATGGGATTCAGTCTCTCCATGAATGGCGATCTTCAAGAATTGATGGCGACATCTCCGTGAATCCTTCCCCAGCTATGGCAGATTCGCTCCATAAAGGGCCCCTCATGATTTAGTTACGGGGTGCATTCCTTGATAGTGTTGTACTCTACTGCTGGGGTCCAAACTTAATGTTGCTATGGGAGAGTTTGTGACTGCGACTGTAGGTGTGAAAACATAGCCCGACCCGATTAACCCGCCCGATCAACCCGACTCGCAACCCGACCGCAACCCGAATTGACTAAAAGTCAACAACCCGTAACCCGCCCGATCCGAACCCGATTGACCCGCAACCCGACTAACCCGCAACCCGATTAACCCAAACCCGATTGACCCGCAACCCGATTGACCCGAACCCGACTAAAATTTCGTATAAAAAATTTTAAAAATATGAAACTCACTTGATATTACGTATTTTAAGAAAATGACAAAAATTGAAACATGAAGGTCACTTGAGATCATGACAATATTAATATAATATATAAATTAAAATTTTGGTTAATTTAACTATTCAATAAAATTATCAATTAAATATAAATAAAGTAAAGTAATGTATTTGGTAATTTGATGTTTTTAAAAGAAGAGGGAAATTTTTGTGTATTCATGTTTTTGGGAAGAGAAAGAAGAGGGAAATTTGGTTCTTTGAATTTTTTAGAAAAAAAAACAAGTGGGAATTTTGGTGGTTTTGATATGTAGGAAGAGAAAGAAGTGGGAAAATTTGATTCTTTTGATTATGAAAGAGAAATAAGGAGGGAAACTTTTGACTTTTCAACTTTTTGTAGAAAGAAGAGGGTAATTTGGTTCTTTCAATTTTATGGAAAAGAAAGATGAGGGAAAATTGAGTTTTTCTAATGTATGGAAGGAGAAAGAAGGAGTGAAATTTTAGTATTTTTGTGAAAAGAAAGAAGGAAACAAATTTGGTGTTTTCAATTTTTTGGTTTTTCATAATTTTAGCTTTTGAAATATGAATCTTTAACTTTTATATGGAGGGCATGACTAGTTAAAATTATTCTTATATGCTTTGAAGGCTAATATGTATATATGTATGTAATTTTTTATGGTCTAATAAATAAATTAACCATTAGTTAAAACAATTTATACTAAACTTGATAAGTAATCTTTGACGGTTCGTTGTTTAGGATATAAAGTATATCGTTAGGGTATAAGGTATAAGGTACATATGGTTTAGAGTGTATATGGTTAGGGTATAAGATATTGATGGTTTTGATGGTTCTAAGTTTTTTATTAACATATGTTCATTGAAGTCATTTTAAGTCTTTAACGGCAGGAGATCCCTTTTTAATTTATGTTTATGGTACGTGGTTAGGGTACAAGGTATGTGGCGTAAAGTATAGGATATATGGTTAGGGTATAACAATTAGCAAATATCACTTCTTATCTATGTTTTGAAAATCAAAGTATGAATTTCACTTTTAAAATTAACTATACTATCAAAATCACAACTCAAGGACATATGGTTAGGGTATAGGTTATGTGGTTAGTGTATAATGTATTGATGGTTTAGGGTATACAATCAACAACATATACTAACTTAATATTGTTGATTGAGATTGTTGATTGAGGGTAAAGCTAAGTGTATAGGATATATGCTATTGAGTAAGTTATGATTGAAGTCACAATAATTTTACTAACTTTGATAGCTAATCTTTAATGGTTCAATTTTTAGGATAATTCGAACAATTTTACATATAACTCGTTTGGCAACAGTTTACTAAAGTTATTTGGGCAATGAGTTATTGTGAAATAACTCATTTTATCCCTATGCTTTTGCCAAATACCACACGCCAAATACCGGATTTGCATGGTTATACTAAACGAGATACTTTAATCCAATTACTACTGAATTAATACTAAAATATCAAATAAACAATTAACGGTGTCTTTTGGTTGCAAATATTGATATCACCATTACTATTAGCTATAATACTTTACCAATTATGATTAATTACATAACAAGTTTGCAAGTCATACAAATTGATTTAACATTTTGACTAGTTTTTTTCAAAAAAATAAAGTATATATATACGAGGCAGAAATAAATTGGTTAAAAAGTTGAGAAAATATTTTAAATTAGTGTAATAAAATGTGTAAGTTGGTAATGAGTAATGAGTTAAGTTACTTGATGCGCTGGCCCGAACAACCCGAAACCCGACCCGCCCGACCCAAAACCCGATGAACCCGCAACCCGATTTGCCCGCAACCCGATTGAATCCGAACCCGATGAACCCGCAACCCGACTAACCCGCAACCCGTTTGAACCCGAACCCGATAAACCCGAACCCGATGAACCCGCAACATGACTAACCCGCAACCCGTTTGAACCCGAACCCGATTGAACCCAGCCCGAACCCGCCCGATTGACACCTATAACTGCGACCATTCCTCTGCCACTGAGATTGACAGTGAAACATGAAGATCCTACACAAGGAAGCTTTAAGGTAACTATCAAGTTTGGCTCCTGGCTTCTTTGCTCTTTTCTTCCCCAGATCAGTTTCATTTATGATTGTTATGATGGTGGTTTAGCTGTGAAAAGCCTTATTGTCTCCACCATATAGCGGTGAGCAAAGAGAAGAATCAAAATCTTCCTTGTGCATCCACCAATTAGGTCATTGTTATTTTGTCCTTGGGGTGTAGTAGGTACTTTTCTTTTTCCTCTTTACCACCTAGCTCTAATTCCATGTTCTGTTGGATGTTTTATGAAGCTTTCATGATTTGTTGTTTGGTTCACTACATCGATTGATCTTAATCCATGGTGTCTTCCTTTAATAGTTAACTAATCGCATAAATAACTTGATGGTTGGCCTAATTGCTTGTGCTTTTCTCTTCTTTTGGTATGCTTACACTCTTAAGCTGATTGCAAAACTTGGCCTAACTAATTATGTAAACTCTGTTAGAGTCAAACTTAGAGGTTCCAGGATTCATCCAGCCAAATATTAAGGCCTGAACTACAACACAATTGATGAAGCTGTAAGTCTATCCGAAAAAGTCCTGAACACCTGATTTCGGTTTTTGTGTTATTGCAGGTTGAGAATGATGAAGCATGGACAATCCTCTCATCCAAATGATTCACATTTAAGTAACTTAAGCTCAAATAATAAAATAGTACATTGAAGCTCTCCTCTGTTATCAATTATTCAACTATCTGGATCAAAGACTTCTGATATATCTTTGTTCATTTTCTTTTTATGGTTATGCCAAAGGGATAGATGGGTCGTGGAGGATGGGAAGGCAATAGTAGTATCGTTGCTGAATTTTGTAAGTACTTGCTCACCTCTATTGTTTGTACTATACTACTTACCCACCAGACTTTTGTTTATAAATTAATCTATAACCTTGGAGGTGGGATTTCATATCCGATAAGAAGTTTGCTGAGTAAATGAATGATATATAAATTAGTTAGTTTAGCCCATAAAAAAAAAATTAGTTAGTTTAGATAGATAATGCAAATACAGAAGCTTTATATAGATTCTACTGTCTGCATTATTGTGTTATAGATATGTAGAAACATCCCATGACTTTGTAAGAAAGTCCTATGAGAATATATAGAAACTTGGTTCTTGGTGACTTGTAACTTGTGATTGTTTTTTATTGATGATTTTTCATGCAGGTTATCAGGGGAGGGTTGAATATTTTGGGAATGGACATGATGATGACAATTCAATACCATTTTGAGTATGAGTATCAATTGATGATTTTATATATTATTAGTCTATAGTGATATGTATAGAGGTAGGTGCTTATCCCATTTCGAATATCATAGTTGGTAAATGAGCTTAATTAGGAGTCTCTGTACAGTTTCCATGAATAGAGCGAACAATTTGTATGAGATTGTATATTTTATAGTGCTTATCAAAAGGGCTTTGTTATATTTTCCATTTGCACCATTTATTTATTTGTTAATACTTTATCAACAAGGAGGACAAGATTTAGAAGCAAAAGACAGTAAAATCAACAGTTTTGGCGATGACATATACTTTCGCCGCCAAAAGTATCAGGGACGAAATTTTAAGTGCTAAGGATACAATTTGCGAAGGACCAGTTCGTCGCTGAAGAATGTTTTGCGACGGACTTTAACGTCGCGTAAGGAAGTGTTTTTGCGACGATACTTCGTCGCGAATGGTTTGTACCGCGACGACATATTTCGTCGCCAAAATATAGACTTTCCGCGACGAACAGCATATTCTGCGACGGATGCATAAATTTTGTCGCAGAAATCTTTGGCGACGCGGTATAAGCGACGGTCAGATAACTCCTTTCGCGACGCTATATTTCGTTGCAGATAGATACAGCGACGGATTTCAATACTTTTAGCGACAAATTTTACCGTCGCTAAAAGGGGGATTTCTTGTAGTGAAGCTAATTAATGCATTAAGTAGGGACCAAATCAATTAATGCTTTAGTTTGCGTTTAAGGTTTTGAGAAAAGATTTATAATGCAATTAATGCAGGCATGTGTTGGGAAGGCAAGCTGCAGCATTCATGGCGATTATATCGTTTCAGAACTTATTTCGTAGAAAAGATAGTTAGATTTCTGTGTGTTGAAAAACATACCTTCGCTTACGATAAATTGAGAGAGAATATAGAGAGAGTGAAGGATCAGTTGTAGTTTGTCTTGCAGGTACCTCAGGTACCCGACTTCAGGTCAAGAGATCTCTGTCGCTGCGTGCTATTGGGTTTTAGTGAAGATTGATTGCATGGGTTGTTGGGTGTTAGGGAAAGTTAATGAAAGTTATGATCAATCACAAAGAAAATGTTTGGCTATCACTCAGTTTATAAGATACACTCAACCAAATAAGGCCTTAACTTTAACACTTGTTATTACAAAAAAGAACACAACACACTTTTTTTCTTTACTTTTTGTGCTCTCTCTACTCATTCCGCATTGAGTAAGCATACACATAAATTCATATGAAGTGATAAAAACAAAAAATAAATGACAACTCAATAATAATACAAGTGAACCATGTATTAATTTGGTTTTTATCATGTCTAGTAGTTGCAAATAGGAGTTAAAGTTTCTTGTGAGATTGTCTTTCCATGTGAGGTTATTCTTCTCCAATTTAACTAACATCATTTGATCATGAATGCACCAATTTTGTTACATCACTAATTTCAAATTACCTTTTAACACCCACCTCTTAATTTGCAATATGGAGTACCTCTTTGAACTTCTCGAATTTTTCACCGGTGGTCACCTTTATCATGATATCTGCTAACTTGCGTGAAACACTAATTTTTTTCCATCACTATGGCTCACATGTTGTCACACTGAATAATAATTGGACCAATTTCACTTCAATGCAGATCAGAAATTAATCTTTTTAGCCATATTGCTCAATATGATGCATCTGTAGCTGCGATATATTCTGCTTCCGCTGAACATAAAGACACAATCTTCTATTTCTTTGAACTCCAGAAAATGGGGTTTGAACCCAAATATGTACCCCCAATGTGATTTTTTTATCATCCAGCGATCCTACCCATTCACTATCGGTAAGTCTAGTCGGCTTGCTTTCTGTTTCTTTCTTGAACGTCAGACCCAAGTTCTTCGTTACATGAAGCTACCACAAATTCTTTTGGCTGCTGCAAAATGAAGTTTACTAGGTTTATTCATAAATCTTGTATGTGTCCGGTAAATAATAATTCGAGAAGACTTTTGTACAACTTTCCATAGAAGTTTTTAGATCAATCATTGTTTTGCCACTTCTCATTCAATGCCAATGGTGTTGCGACAGACTTGTTGTTGCCATGCGAAATATTTTGAGCATATCTTTTGTGTACTTCTCTTGAGAAATAAAATTTGATGTAGGTGCCTACTTCACCTTGAATGCTAAGAAAATACTTCATGAGTCCGAAGTCCGTCATCTCGAATTCTTTCATCATGATACTTTTGAAATCGTCAATCATCTGCTGACTTGTGCATGTGTAAATCAAGTCATCCACATTAACACAATGAGAAAACCTTTTCCTTCTCCCTTTTTTATATCAAGACAAGCTTCACTCGGACTTCTTTGAAATCCGTTATGCAGAAAATATCGATCAATTATGATGTTCCATGCTTTTGGTATTTGCTTCAGCTCGTATAAAGCTTTTCGGAGATGATAAACTTCATCTTCTTATCCTTTCTTTTCACAACCCCATGGTTGTTTCACACAGACTTCTTCTTCTAGTTCTTCATTAAAAAATCATTATTTGCATCCAGCTAGTATACTAGTAACTCCATGTTAGCAGCTAGAGTGAGAACTATTATGATTAGGGGTGGCTATACGGTCCGGTCCGGTTAAATTGGCCCAAATTGACCCGGTCCAGTCCGGTCTTTTTGAAAATATAAGGACCGAAGATTGGATTGGATACAGTCTGGTCTTGATCCGGTCCGGTTTTGATCCGGTCTGGTCCCAATTCGGTCTTGATTTTACATTGAGATTGTGGGATTTGAGTGGCCTAAGGCCTTAAAGGGTGAGGAGTTGGTTAAGTTTTGTACTAAGTGCAAAGGTTTGTGACCGTTTATGCAAATTACCCTTAAGTTTTGGGTGTTGAGCTCTCTTATCCGGTTTTTTACCTCAAATCTAAGCCCAAAGATTGGATTGGATTGTTTACTATTCGGTCCCGGTCCGGTCTTGGTCCGGGTTATACGGTCCGGTTTCCGGTTTTTAATCCGGTCCCGGTCAAAATAGCCACCCCTAATTATGATGGTCTCCCTCCTTGCTATTGGTTCATATGTCTGTGAAAATCAATACTAGGCTGTTGTGCATAGCCTTTTGCCACCATTTGTGCTATGTGCTTCTAGATAGAATCATATTCATTGAATTTGGCTTAGATATATATTTGACACCTGCGATCAGCTTGTCCGATGGTTAATCAATAAACCCATGTCTTGCTTTTCTCGATCGACTACAAGAAAAACATGGTTTAAAGTCGGTTCCTTTGTGTCTGTTCATTTAACTTATGCAAAACTGTTCATTTTGAATCCCTATTTTGTGTTCGTTAAGTAATCGACGCAAATTCTATGGATTTGTGAAAATTATGTAAGAATCGACACAAATTTTCCTTGTTCTGTGTTGGTTATCAAATAAACTAACACAATTTTTTGTGAATTTGTATCGGTTGTATTGGTAACCGACCAAAATTTCACTCGATTTTTTACTCTAACTTGAAAAAATCTAATTTTTTAGTAGGCGCCAATTTTCCCTCTCAACCTCTCCAATCTCCCTCATGATTTTGCCCAAAAAATTGAAACATTCCTGCCTCAAAAGTTAATTTTCTCCCCAAGTTTTGTGAGCCAACACCCTTTCTTCACTCCTTCTATCCATTTTTTGTTCTTCTCATTCTAACATTTCACAGATCTTCCCCTTTTCTTATTCTTCCTCTTTGCCCAAAATCCAATCCTCAACGATGACAAAAATCCATTACTCCTCACATTCGATCCACTCTGAAATACGCCCCTCAGTCTTATCACTCCTTATCACAACTTTACTCCATCCATGGCGATGGACTCCTCCTCCATTGGCCAGGACAGATCAGACATTTTCCTTCCAGCGACAAGCATCGCAGCTTTAGACCATGATGGCGACAAAAGAGGGAGAGCATTTAGACATGCATTCATCGTAGGCCCTCTCTCACCGACCTTGATTGATTTCCGTCGTACTCCCCTATTCCTTAGCGAGACCTGGCGACGAATTGGCGATCATGGCGGAGAGATGGAGAGCTTTTGAGCATGATGGCGGTGACAATTTGGGTGCTGGAGCTATGGACCATGTCAGCATGGACGATTAGTCAGCTAGAGCTTTGGACCACGACACGAGCGAAGATTCGGGTGCTGGAGCTTCCATCTAATTTTCAAAAAAATTTCCTATGTTTGCATATTCGGCCCTTGTTGTGAAATCTGATTTTTATTTTTATTTTCTTGTTTCAAAACTTGTTCTTGTTTTTGTTGATTTTTATGCTTGTGGATGGTTGTTGAAACTAATTCTGGGATTTATGGAGGGGTCTCTGATTCATATCAATTCTAGAGAATGAGAGAAGGACAGAAGGGAGATCGATAGATCTCAAGTGATGAGCAATCTAGAATTTGGAATCGAGAAGCTACATCGACGAGGATATGGTAAAAAGGACCTGGTGACGGATCTAGTTTGGTGGTGAATCAGTACTGGGTGGGGGCAAATCTGTAATGGTGGGGCAAGCAAGAAAAGTTCGCGGTGCTAATTTTGTTTTAAATAAAGAAATAAATTCTGTTAATTGGAGTCAATTCAACTGATACAAATGGTCAATTAATTCAAAAAATGAAATTTCCTAATAAATAAGTAGAGCCGGTTCAAAATGACGCAAAAATTATTTGTGTCGGTTATTCCAGTGGTTGTCCAAACCCGACACAGACCCAATTAGTGTCGGCAGGTTTAGAGTCAGTTCAATGAACCAGCGTAAGCACCTAAAATAACCGGCAGTAAGCCATGTTTTCCTTGTAGTGATCATGGGAATTTATGCATCCATTGAATTGGTCCAGACTTCTTCTTTTGCTACTTCTTCATAGACTTGAGATTCATAAGAAAAATATGCAACCTGACTCGTTTCATAAATTCTCTTAAAGTTCTTGTGCTTAACGATGGTGAAATTGAGTCTATTAAGTCATGTCTTAAGTCCTCTCCCCCTATGCAGCTTGTTGAGTTGCTTTCTAGACTTGCAATTGGATCTGGTTGGTTTCTGGTGTGTGGTTTAGTTGCCGAGTCTTGCAAAATTTTATAACTTGGTGGAGATTGAGAAATTGGATGTTCAGAATTTCACTGTGCCATCTCCAGAATCACCATTTCGCTTACTGGATTGTAAAGAGTAAAGAAGATAAACTTTGGTTTCATCACTGTAGCCGGTGAAGATCTTCTCTCCCTTCTTGTCAAACTTGTCTCTTTTGGGTTAGAGATATGTGCATAAGCTATGCACCAAACACTTTGAGTTGATCTACATGTGGCCTCCTGTGGTGCCAAACATGTATCGGTGTCTTGTTTTGAACTGCTCTACTTGGTGATCGATTGAGGATGTAAATTATTGTATTGACTGCTTTGGCCCACAAGTTGTTGGCTAGCTTTTTGGCTCGGAGCATACTTTTTGCCTTCTCCACAATTGTATGGTTTTCCGTTCTGCCACACCAATTTGTTGTTGTGTGTAATGGACTGTCAACTACGTCTTGATTTTATTGTTGCGGCAATACTCCATGAACGGATTATAAATAAAATTTTCATCCACGATATGTTCATAGGTTTTTAGTCTGATGGTCGGTTTTCCTTCTCCGTTGGTACTTGAAATTGAAGGAATTTGGAAAAGGCTTCTGACTTTTTCTCCATAAAGAATACCCACATCATTCTTGTGGAGTCATCATTTATGCTGAGTGACTGTGTTCTGGTTTGACCGTATATGTTTGCATGTACCAACTCCATTTGCGCTTTTGCTCTATAAGATGTTTTTGGAAACGGTAACTGATGCATTTTGCCATACATGCATCTTTCAGAGATCTTATCTTCTCTGTTGATCTGAGGAACTTCCACCGCCATAGTTTTCTGCTTTAGCAATTTGAGGCATTTGAAGTTGAGATGACCGTATCTGAGATGCCATAGGAATTGTTTTTTTATAATCACCGAGACTTCGGCCACCTTGGAATTTTTAGTGTTTTTTATAATTTCAAACATGTCATTATCAAATAATAGCTTCTAATTCTTCAACATCAGTTGTCTCACGCAAAGTATATAATGATTTAGCTTCAGAACATACAAAACGTCGCATAGGAAAGATTTGTTACCTTCTCCTGTGTGCACAACAACTATACCTTTTCTTTTGAGTTCTAGTTTCTTTCCATATATCGATTTGACTTGAGATAGATAGTCGCATCAATGTCCCTAAGGACTCCAGATTTCCAACCATGTCGTTACTACAAAAACTATCCACCATTTAGGGACATTGTGCATTTTGCTCATCCTTTAAGAATGATAGGCCACCATATTGCTTTCTTCATTTTGGGTGTTGCTTCACTCATTTTGTTCTTGCGTATTCTTAAAGCAAGATCTCTCTGAAAATGGTTTTGAATTCTTCACTTGGTGCACTTGCATCTATAGTCTTTTGTTGCATGACCCGCCTTTCTACAATACTCATACAATTCTCCATGGGAAATTTTAATTTGATTTGAAGAGGTGGAAAACATGGTGTTCGCTGAAACTATTGCGATGGCTAGTTTTAGGGGGAAAAATGGTTAGACTAGAAAGTGGGGATTTTTTAGAAGTTAAAGGAGTATTTTCTTTAATTCCAATTTTGTTGGGTATTAGCGGAATTAATGGAATTTAGGATCAATCACAAATGATACATTTGAGTATCACTCAATTCATAAAACACACTCAACTAAATCAGTCCTTAACTTTGATACTTGTTATCACAAAATAAAACACATCACACTTTCTTTTCATTTTGTGCTCGCTCTGCTCATCTTGAATGGAGTAAGATACACATATGTATTCATATAAAGTGATTAAAAAATAAGTAAATGAAAACTCAATAACAATACAAGTGAACCATGTATTAATTTGGTCTTCTTATTATGTTTAGTTAGTATTTTAGCTTTCAAATGTGAGTTAAGCTTCCATCTGAAATTGTCTTCCCATATGAGGTTGTTCTTCTCCAACTTGACTAGCATTATTGATTAGGAATGCACCAATTTTGTTACACCACTTAATTTCAAGTTACCTTATAACATGGGTTTTCTTAGCAGGTAGGAGTTGTACAAATTATTGGTGGAAAAGTTGTGCTCAAGAATTTTTTTTGTTTGATTGATAGTGCACAAGCATTATGGCTTGTGGGGGTTCTACAACCGGCAGCTTAGTTATGATTCTAGGATCCAAATGTATATGTAAAGTGTAAACATGGTGACTTACTGAATTTTTAAATAAAAGTGAAAAGTAAGCTTGTGGACTAGTCTCTTTCATATTGAAGAAATTAGGTATCATTTGCGCCGATTTCATATTCATATTTGCTTCGTTTAGATTATCATGGTATCAAATCAAGGTTTAATGGAATTCGATCGCATCTAGACTAGGCTCAACTCAAAGAACTATGCTCTTTGGGAACTACTTTGTTAACTATTTCAAAGAAGACATACAAAGTAGGCATGTTCCTAATCCCTACTTGCTAGTTGCCAATTTGTTTGGATCTTGTAGACACCACATTTTGTCCGGGACACACATTCTACTCAAACACCAAAAGTAAAAATATAACGATAAATTAAAGGGGAAGCTTGGGAGTAATTGGTTAACATTAGCGGTGGCAAGTCAAACTGCCTGAAGGGAGGACCTCTACAACCTCGCCGAGATCCCGGACCGGGCTTTGGCTTTGGACCCGTGGCATATGACTTCTTTGTCTTACTTTCTCCAAAAATTAATAATGGATTTATTAATAATTTTTCTATTTAAATATTTTATCAAATAATTACAAGACTAAAAAAATTTCATAATTAACCAACATCTAATTTTATTTCCCTAATTAACACATCTAATGATCGATTATAAAAAACTAAAAAATTTAATCCCCAATAACCCAAGTTTATTTTCCTAATGAACAAGTCTTTAATTCCTTAATTAAATCGAATTAAGTCTTATTTTATTTCCCAAACCAAAACATTTTTTGGTAATTAAATCAACAAAAATTTATCCTCAAACAACCCAAATTTATTTTCCTAATTAATCGACATCTTATTTATAAAATAACTCAAATTAAGCCTTCTTATATTTCCCAATGCGGAAATGTTTTGCCTTAATTAAATCCCGGGAAATTTTTTATGGTAATTAGTATTTAATCAAAGCCTGAACTGAAAATCTGAACTGAAACCACCCTCTATGCTTCAAAATCGGCCTCTAGACCCATGAACCAGTGGAAGACGTCTTCCAAGCCAAATAGAACGCCCTTTCAGTCTATAACGTGAGATTCACGCTACCGAGAAGCTCCCTCCAAGCATAAAAATCAGCCAAAGGAGGCGAGCGAAACATTCTACATTCCATGTAGATAGATCCTTCAATCCCAATTCTCCTTCCTTCTTCGAGTTTGCCAATATATCCCAAGAAACCTTCGCACTACCCGAACCGTCACCATGCCATAGGAAATTAGAGCATATCTTGTGTATATTATCAAGCACTTTCCGAGGCGAAATGAAAATAGACATCCATAATTGCATATCTGAATATATGACAGATGACACCAATTGAAGTCTACCAGCAAATGAGACCTTATTAGCTCGCCATGAACAAACCCTGCTTGTAATCTTGTCCACCAATATCTCACATTCTTTACTATTGAGTTTCCCATCGAATATAGGTAGGCCTAAGTAATGGACAGGGAAACAACCTTCCTTAAATCCCATTAAGTGAAGAGCATTTTGCTTAAAACGTATAGCCTGACCACCAAAAAAATACCTCACACTTATTGGGATTGCATTTTAACCCTTACCGCATATAAAATCAACTTTCCAAATTAAATGGCATTCACCCTCCAAGTCTGAAGAAATAACACAATAAACCCAATAAGAAGAGTTTTCCAGACAAGAATGTCGATACAAGCTAAGATGCTTCCGATGATGATCCCCATTATCAATCGCTTGAACCTTCACCTTTAAGTTAAGCGAAAATCTCATGATAGAGGACTTTGACAGCCATGCGTGCACCACACGAAGGTTCCTCGACATTCATTATTTGATTGCCAATGAGAACTGAGAGTCTACATCATACCAAGACCTCCTTTATCCATCCTCTCAAGGTCAAATAAGGACATCGACAAGTAAGAAGATTTCTAGAATCTAGTTTCTACTCAAATGACATCAGTTACTTAAATACTCAAACTTACCCCTTAAAAACCAAAATTTCAAGACAAGGGGGCAACATGAGTAAAAATAATAATACCCGCAAAAATATCCAAGATGAACCACCATTTCCAAGGAAAATGAGACTTCATCAACAAAGATCTCCTCTATCCATCAGCCAATCTCATACTTTGGGGGAAAGCAAAATATCCCTCCACAAGAAACTTTTTACGACAAGGAGGGATGATCTCATTTCATACCTTGGGGGCAAACCAAATATCCATCAACACGAAGTTCCACCTGAAAATTCAAATTTCATATGAATTTCCTTACCCGCCTCTCATTTGGGGAAAGTAAAAACCCCAAAACATGAGAACTCTTATGATTGGAACCCACATAAGAAAAGAGCCTCATTTCTGGAAAGTTCAAGAAATCCCACGACAAGACCATATAGAGATTACTTGAAATCTCCAAGATCAGCAAACCTATACCTCGAGCGCTTTTTCCCCCAGCAAACATGGTGACCAGCATCTTGATAGTAGCTGAAGTGTCGTATACCCCGAACACCCCATAAGTGAGTTAGAGGGAAATTGAGCATAAGAGTGAGAATAAAAGTGAGGGCTTATTGACATTCTCATGGCTTGCCTTTGGAAAAGACATTCTTATAGAAATAACCAAATAAGAAATCATTTTTCTCATATTGCACCCACTTCCCTCAATATAGGCTTCGATTTCTAAAATCATGTTCCCATTATACTCTCTCAAACAAGATTTTTCAAACATTGCTTGCATTCATTTTAAGTCAAGATAAGCAAAAGTCACACTTCGTTTCAAATAGTGGAAATCAAGTAACAAATCCCGAGGGCAAAATGGAGCAACCCGAAAAGAAGAAAGTTCAAATAACCATATTGTGGGTCTCGCAATTCTCCAATCATGAGTAAACGGAAAATTTCAAAGATCTTGAATTTTTATGTTCAAGCTATCCAATCAGTCAATCAAACTATTCTTCAACGAAGTATTTTGTACCTCACACCTCCCAATGAAGTCCATCAAGCATGTCTAGAAAACCGGCATCAATAAGACATTGAAGTTAACAAATTTCTCTTAACTAAGCACAACATGCTTACATAACAAGAAGATCAATCATACTAAAAGATTACAGATTTTCGAGGCCACCATGCTACAAAAGCCTCTTACAGAATCAACCTACAAGCACATATCATGATAAGAAGATCATTGGCGAACACATCAGCTACTCAAACACAAGTGTCCAAGTTGTAGAAGGAAGAATAAACCTGCCGGCGACACCCATGTTACTCCAGTGCGAGCACCGCTAAGGATCAAATTTACTAAAGGGGAATGACAAAGAGATTATGCTCTTTCCTTTGCATACTCTTCAAGACACCATCATATGACTCATCATACAACCTTTCTCAAATACATCATATGGCATAATTTCCTAATGCACTTTAAACTAATCATATCACATCACATCATTCATTAAATGACTAGGTTCAAAGATTTCATGGTCATAGTAAATATTAATCAAGCACACCTTTCCAATAACATATTGATAGACCGATAATTACACATGTTTTCACCCCTATTCTTGAGCCGTTTGAGAGGTTGACTCTCGGGTTTTAAGCCGATTTCACGCGAGGTTGTGTGTTTATGTCGTATTTCAGGACCTGGCGTTGGAATTGAGGCCAAGGAACGAGATTCGGGTCGAAAGGAGCAAGTGAGGCTTGAAGTGTGCTGGAGGAAGAAAATACCCGACCATGACCAAAAATACCCGGCCGGGTATTATTCTGAGGAGGCCGGGTATTTGCTGTTTTGGCGTCTGAGAAACAGAGAGGGTCCTGGGCTGGAGGCACAAAATCCCCGACCGGGGATTATTGGATGAGACCGGGTATTTTTCCCCTGGGCAAAACGCGCGTTTCAACTATACCCGGTCGAGACCCAAAATACCCGACCGGGTATTTCGACCGGGTATCGCAACAGGCAGCTGTTTTAAAGGAAAAGAAGGCCAAAGATCAAGGGATTCGAGTTTTAGAGAGATAGAGCGATTCCTAGAGAGAGAAAGCGACGAACAAGAGTCTCCAAGTGCCCTAGCTTGATCTTCATCACCATTGGAGCTTGGCTTGAGCTTGGAGGAGTGCCAATCAACGTCCAGGAGCAGGAATCCATCTTTCACAGTATGAATTCCGCGTCTGATTCTGTTTTTGCTTCTTTCTCCATGGAGTAGTTCTCCCATTCATCTGGGTATGGAGAACCCTAGATTTGTATGTTAGGTTTGATTGTATGAACCCAAGTACTGATTCTATGATTTGATTATATTCAATTGAGGTTTGAATGATTGAATGGCATGAATCCTGATCAAATTCCTGTTATTTTGAGAATATCTGCCTAGGTTGATAGAGCATCCTTGATTGAAGGTAGGGAGTTGGTGACTTTAGTCGAGGAGCCAACTCACTATTCTGTACCGAATTCACTTCGGTAGTGGAGGTTTTGTTGTTAGGGCCTCAATCTGTTTACTCCGGTGGAGGTTAGTCGCCCGCTAGAGATTCAGATTGAGAGGGTCTGAAGACCTTTAGTCGAGACTTCAGGCTGTTTAAGAACCTTCCGCAGTATAACTATCATAGAAACTGAACTTGGTAATTACAATCCGGCTTAACTGCAGTCTAGGGGGAACCATATCCGGGTGACCTCTCTTAACCTGAAAACAACCGTTTAGTTGCTTTGCTTGTTTGTTAGTTTATACTTGCATTAAAGTTTCATTGCTAGATAACAAGAATTCATCGAGTAGTCATCAAATCTAGGACCCTGGTTGACATTTAAACCCAAACCCGCTATACTACACTTTAGGAAGTGGTTTCACTTGGCCAATTCTTAGAGTGACACTAGAAGTGAGTCACATATCTTGTCACATCATTACATCACATCATTTCATACATCTTACGTCAATGATCCCCAACAATCTTTACCAAAATACAAAAGATTCATCTCCATTCTACGGATTTTTGGTTTTTAACATTTCCTACTTGGCATACAACTCCATATCATATCTGATCAAGGTAAAGACTCTGCATATCCTCAAATAGAAGAAGCTACAATGCGAAGAAAGCTACATTACGAGGGAAACCAATTAGCACCCACAAGAAGGCTAAACTGCGAAAAAGGCTACACTGCGAGGGAAACCAATTAGGACCCACAAGAAGACTACACTTCAAGGGAGCTAATCAGGACTCATAAGAAGGCTACACTGCAAGGGAGCTAATCAGGACCCATAAGAAGGCTAGACTGCGAGGGAAACCAATCAGCACCCACAAGTTGGCTACATTGCGAGGGAGCTAATTAGGAGCCACTATAAAGCTACATTGTGAAAAACTAATTAGTACCTACATCTAGGCTACACTGCCAGGGAGCTAATCAGTACTCATGAAACGACCACACTACAGCGGAAGCCAATTATATTGGTACCTACATCTAGGCTACACTGCCGAGGAACTAATCAGGACCCACTGCATGACTATGCCACATAAGAGCTAATTAATGACTTCAAAACTTCAAAGAAGTTGGTTAGTGTGCTAAATTATAAAATATCACAATACTTATTAAAACCCCGCCCAAAAATGGTGTGCTAAATCACTTTGTATAGCTCTTAAATATTAAAAGATATACATGGGGGGCAACTGTAGACACCACTTTTTGTTAGGGTCAAAACATATTTAATCATAAAAAATTTAGTTTCAGTTTAAGGTGTGCAGTAGCCGATTTTGAATGAAACTTCTAGCCAAAACGAATCGTAATGCTTGGGTTGGGTCTTTGTTTGGCATAAGTCAACGAGATTAGCAATAGCAAATCTCAATTGAATTGTTGACGATTTTAACGAATTAGGCTTAAGTTCGATTTTGGGTGTCATGCAAGTTAATTGATTCTTAAGACATTGAATCTAGTGAGAATTTGATCGCAATTTCAAAATAATAAAATCGAAGTCATACTAATTCAATAAACTACAATGTTAAACGACTAAAATCATTATTACAATGCATAAGTATAATTAATTACACTGCTAATTTGTTATTACATTAAACTAATTACCATTAAAAATTGGGCTCAAGTCCAAGCCCAAGTCCTAGTCAACTGTTAGTCAAAACCCAAAAAAGTCAGACAGGCCCATACAAAAGTCTAACATCAGGCCCACCCATATTCGGACAAGAGCCAATCTAGGCCGAACCAAACTGGTTCGACCAGACCAAGCCCAACCCAATTATCAACCAATCAGAAAAATACAACTAACCTATATCCCTACTAGCCAATCAAAATTCACCACAAAATTGCCCAAAACTGAATTCTTCTCATATAAAATACCAAACCTTAAACACTTATCAATCAGTTTCTCTTCTTACCAAGACCGTTTCTAAAAGGCAAACTACGTGGACTTTGATCTCGACTACTCGGGTATGTAGGCAACCAATTGGTTCGAGTCCCACTAAACAAATTTTATCAACAATTTAACGTGCAAGCGTTAACATTTCAAATCACTCAATTTTACCGAACTACGTGGACTTTGATCCCGACTAATCGGGTACGTAGGCAACCAATAGGTTCGAGCCCAACTAATCAAAAAGATTTTCTTTACTTTTAAGATTTACGTAAATAGACCTAACTACCTAATTAATTGGATCTTATCATTAAATACGTAAATTAAAGTGGAATAATAAATCACCAAACCTTTACAAAACTTATCGATTTAAGTAGTACCAAATTTGTGGCGTTGTGGGGTGTGAATACACTTCCCCACACGTAATCGTACTCCCGAATCCAGAACTCCATAAATTCGCAGACCAAATTTCGGTGTCGACTCTAAGGTCGAGACCAGACCAAAAGGTGTTCGACCCACCACAAATAAGGTCGATGGCGACTCCGAGTAAATCGCGACGAGTCCACCGATTTCGAGGGGCGGTTGCGACAGCTGCTATGTGGATGTCGATGAAGAATGCGGTAACACTAGTGGAAGTTGAAAATGGTGGAGGAAAAGCATGTGCCATGAGCTGAAACTGGTGAGTACTGTCACTGAGATATATTTGTGTTGTGGATGTTTGTGGGGTTGTTGAAGGCATTGTTGACGAGGTGAAAGTTCGGGTAGTACCCTTGTTGGCTATAACATGGTTGGTAGACATGCCCATGATGGTGAGCAGTTTCAGAAAGGAAGAATATGTGGCGTTGGGGAGGCCCGACAATGGAAGAAGGGAGAGTACTCAGGGAGAGCAAGTGCCTTGAGAAGCTCGGCAGGGCTGGGTTTTGGTGGTATAGTGCTGGAGATGCATGCGTGCTAGTGATTATTCGTGTTTGTACCCTTTATTTAATAAGTGGACTCATGCTGTGAAGGAGGGGATTGTGTCTTTAAATGGGGAAAATGAGGAAGCTTGTTTATATTACAAGGCCGAAGGGGATTATTGTTGCTATGATAGAGTGAAGTTCCCACTTGAAAGAGCAAGAATCCAGAGTGAAGGGTTCTTTCGGCTGAGTGAGGAACTTGGGGATGACAATGACGTAGGGTGCACCATTGATCCTTAGGGGAGCTGCTGCTGCAATGAGTCAAGTTGGAGTTCCCAAACGCAATTTGAAGTCCAGGAAACGCATAAAGTCACCAAGGCAACTTCAGGATGTGACATCAGAGTCGTGGGGAGTTCGTCAAGTTGACTACAACCTTGAGGACAAGGTCGCTTTCAAGGCGAGGGGATTGTAGGAAATATAATTATTAGGGCTTAAAGAATCGGATGTCTATGTGTGGGCCAAGTAGCATTAGGGTTATTATTAGGCTTTTCGGGTTTATTTTCTATATAAATGTACTTTGGTACTTACGGGAGGGTTAATCAGAAATCAGTAATCAAAACCCTATTCAGTTTATTCCTCTCTTCTTCTCCTAATCTTTAAATCCCTAATCCCCAATTCTAAATCACCTAATTCTTCTCAATTCTCCTCTCAACCAATCTAAATATCTTTCTAATCTATCTGGTTTCGTTAATTCCAAGTTACCGAAGAATCATAGTTTCTTCAGTCCACAATCCAGACACCACTGGATGGCATCACGGAGGGCTAAGAGTTCTACTATTTGTGGATCATCAATATCATCAATATGTACCCTCTGGCCAAGACAATCGCACAACTCTGGTCTTTTATAATCATTCCTCCCGCCAAGTGTGATCCAATCCTTGTTGCACTGTCCCACATGCAAGCTAGCAAGACAGAGTTTGACGAATTCGTGTCGACAATTGGGGGGAGCCGAGTTCACTCTGTCCGTTGGTAAGCTGATTCATTCCTGGACTTGCTGATGATACTGTCGCATCAATGATAGAATCCAGAATTCTTTCCATTCAAAGACAACCCAATTCCTGGATTTTCAAATTCACAAAGGGTCGCGACAACTTTCATACTAGGCATCGGGGTAAAACTTGAACCTCCTTCTCGAGCAGAGCCTCCGCGGTTGGGAGAATGTGATTGAAGATTTGCGAGCGAAAAATCTTAAATTTTGTTGGAATTGGGAGTTCTCAAATCCGAATCCAGCTAGATCTATTCATCCAACGGGCCGTCTGGCACCACCTGCCTCGCCTACAATTACGGCTGGCAGAACGGTTTTCGGTTAGCAGTTAACCGGACGGTTTCAACAAAACCGACCGGTTTTCGGCTAACCGAAAAACCGATACTAAAGGCAGCGGTCGGTTGGCAGTGGGAAGGGCAGGGGTTCAGTTAGCCGACTAACCGGGGTCAGAAACCAACGGTTAACCGGCTAACCGGCCCCTTCCCTTTCCCCAAAAATGATGTCGCTTCCGCCCCACTAACCCTAACAAGTTGACCCTCCTCCCAATTCCCAAATCAATCGACCTTCCCCCTGTCGTGCAGCCCTTCCCATTCCCCCTGTCGCGCAGCCCTTCCCCCTCCACCATCGTCGACGTTCCACTTCGCCGCCTCCACCTCCACGTCCCAATTCCCAAATCAATCGACCTTCCCCCTGTCGCGCAGCCCTTCCCCTTCTCGCCTAACAGAGACCAGCCCTTCACCCTCCACCATCGTCGACGTTCCACCTGGCCGCCTCTACCTCGACGCCCCGCCGCCTCCACCTCGTCGCCCGCCGCCTCCACCATCGTCGATGTTCCACCAGCAGGCAGCACCATCCAGGCAATAACCCGACACTCCGGCAGCACCTCGTCGCCCTCCCAACAACCCGGCACTCCAGCAGTAGCTCGTCGCCCTCCCAACACAAGCAAGCAGCAACAGCTCCTCCTCCCAATTATGTATATTTAGTAGAAATTGGGATGATGATTTTGATTTTTGAATGTTGATGAATGAATAAATGATAATTGAATATTGATTGTGAATGTCGAATGATGATTTTGGTGGTGACCTGTCTTTCATATACAATTCGTTACATTCTTTTATATAAACTGATTGGCGGATGGTTGAATATGGTGGCTTTAAAGGCTTGAATTGCACTCTGAATCTCGAACCAATTCTACCATTCTGAAGATATTGGTGTCCCCTTGCCTTTCTTTCTTGTTCTTCTCGAATCTTCAAAATTGCAGGTGTGTTTGAGAATTGGGGCTAACTAAACAAGACAAATTTTTTAGACAAATCCATTATATTTGGGATTTGACAATATAAGGCAAATTTTTTAGACAATACTTTTTTTTAATCAAAACCTTGAAACTTTTTCATACTAATAAGAAGCGACAGCTAATTAGAAATGCAAAATGATGATGAATGATGATTTTGATTGATGAATGATGATGATTGAATGATGATTTTGATGATGCTTGTTAGTTGTTACTTGTTAGAATTTGTGAAGTTAGTTTTCAATTTTAAATTTGTGTAACTGTTGATGTAGGGCGAGACCTCCGACTCCACGTGGTGGACGTGGCGGACGAGGTGCACCATCCGCTGAGACTGCTTCTCGTGGTGGGAGACCTCTGGCTCCTCGAGGTCGTCGTGGTGCGGGTGCCTCAGCCCCTCCTACTCAGAATCAGGGTCATGGTGGACGTACAGGGAGTCGGCCTGTTCAGTCTGCTGAACCGTCAGCGTCGGCATCAAATCCATTGACTCCCGCCCATGCCGGTAGTGGAAGTACAACTGCTGCTGAGGCTCCTTCAGTAGAAACGGTTAATCCGGCTTCAAATAAAGCTTAAGAGGATCCCTTCAATCTAGAGAGATGGTTGGAGACAAAGGGTATAGGTGATTGCTGGAAGGACTTTACGAAGGTGGCGGTGGATGAGTATCCGATGGGAGATTGCAAGCATTGTCATACTAAGATCAAAGCACATCCATCCAAGAACAACACTTTTGCAATGAATAACCATCGGAAAGCATGTTTAGCTAAGGTTGCACCATCCAAGGATCAGACTGTTCTGAACTTGTAGGCCGCAGATGGTAGTGGAAGTCAAGTAAGTGCTTTATGGAAGTTTGATAAAGCAAAAGCAAGATATGCCTTTTCGCTTTGTGGATTATTATGGATGAGTTGTCTTTTCGCTTTGTGGAAAGAGACGGTTTTTTAAAGCAGTTTATGCATACGGTTCAGCCACTGTTTAAGATACCTGGGAGGAGAGGTATAAGAGATGATTGCTTTCATATATTCTTGGAGAAAAAGATGAATTTGATAGAGTTTTTTGAATCAAAGAGCAAAGGCAGAGTTTCAATCACCACAGATACATGGACTTCTGACAACAACAAAAATTACATGTGTGTGACTGCTCACTTTGTTGGAGTTGATTGGAAGTTGCAGAAGAAGGTTCTCTCCTTTGTTCCCATCACAAGTCATACAGGAAATGATATTGCAGAGAAGATTGCAGAAATTCTTGAAGAATGGAAGGTGAAGAATCTGTTCTGCATGACCATGGACAATGCATCTAAAAATGATATTGTGAGTGATTGCATGAGAAGGAAATTAAAGGAGTGGGGGTGTGATTTGATGGATGGGAAGTATCTACAGTTTCGATGTGTCGCACACATCATTAATATGATTGTGCAGGATAGATTGAAAGTAATCGGAGGAGCTGTGGATAGAATTTGGGACTATGTGAAGTGGGTGATGTCATCGCCAACTAGGTTGGCAAGGTTCAAGACTGCTATGCAATTTCTGGAGTTGGATTCTTCCAAATTGGTGTGTTTGGATGTACCGACCAGGTGGAACTCCACCTATATCATGTTAGAAGCAGCATAAAGGTTTGGTGGAGTGTTTACCACTTTGTATACAAGGTGAGGTGGTCTTCCAACTGAACATGATTGGAGTCCGATTAGAAAGTTGATGAAGTATCTGAAATTCTTTAATGACTTTATCCTCCTAGTCTAGTCTAGGGTAAGTGAAATTTTTGCTCACTTTGTTTATTTTAATTTGAACATTTGACAATTTTGGTTTGTTTAAGTCTAATTTCCTGTATTCTATTCTCATTTGTACAGGAACTAAATATATGACTACCCATCTTTTCTTCAAGAAACTTGTTCCAATTTATGACATCATTCAAGAATTAAAGAATTATCCGCGTGAAGAGCTCAAAAAGATGGCAGAAAAGGTTGAAGAAAAGGTACAAAAGTATTGGTTTGACACACCTGTCATGAATGAGGAGAATCCTCAGGTGAATCATTTAATTTATATAGCATGTGTGCTTGATCCTAGAAGTAAACTTTATCTTGTGTCTGAAGTGTTGGTAATGATTTATGGAAGTATCAAAGGATGGGAAATTCAGGCTACTATTAAAAGGGAGATGCGCTAGATGTTTGAGATTTATAAGAGGAAGTATGGATCAGAGTTTGCATTTCAGCCTACCATTGATGATAACATTGCTGATGATAGTTCTGTTGATGGTGCTGGTGATCGGATTAAGATATTGGAGGAGAGGCTTAGAAAGAGAAAAAGGGAAGCACTTCTGCTGGAAACAGGAGGTAGCTCTGCTGAGCTTGACATCTATTTGAAATGTCAAACTGATTGCATCAATGAAGAGAGTGATGATGCAAAGTTTGACATATTGGAATGGTGGTCTCGACAATCTGGAATATATCCGATTGTTGCTGAGATGGCTAAGGATGTCCTAGTTGTTCCTATCTCTTCTGTTGCCACGGAGGCAACATTCAGTTGTGGCGGGCGGATTCTCAGTCCATTCAGGTCCTCTTTGAGCGACCTAATGGTGGAGGCATTGATTTGTGCTGAGGATTGGATAAGGTATCTCGGATCCAGGGAGATTGACGATAAGGAAGATGATGAAGAGAATTTTACTTTGGAAAGTAGTGAGTTCTCAAACTCTCTTATTGTTCAGTTTTTTGTCTTCTTTTCACCTAATTCAATGTATGAATGTACCAACACTTTGTTTTCCTTTTTTTTCTTACTCAGTTAATGTCACTTTCCAAACTAGAATGGAAAGTGCAACGAATACTGGCAATGTTGGCAATGCAGATGCAAGACTCAACATTCCAGTGGAGAATGAGCAGGCGGGTGAAGAAGATGTATCGGATGAAGAGTATGAGAAAGATGGATATGATGATTATGGTCATGACTTGTTGCCCCTATTGAACGAACAGGGTTATGCAGATGTTAGTTCTTCTAAGGCTGGTGATAAGTGATGATATATTATGATGTGTTGTTGATTTGTTGTTATCTAGAGGATTTATTGTGATTTGTGGAGTTTATGTTGTTGAATTAATGAATGTGAGACATTAAGTTGCTAATTTAGATGTATTTTCGATGGAAAAGGAATTGAAATGTAGGTTTGAGATTTTAATTTTAGGCGATTTTAGATTTTTTTCCCTTGCTGTCCGGTTGGTTTTGACCGGTTAACGATCGGTTTTGGCAGTTAACGTTCGGTTCTTGGCGGTTAATTGTCGCTTCTTGGCAGTTACCGGTCGGGTTTTGACGGTTGCCGGTCGGTTAGGTAGTTAAACCGAACTGGCCATCAATTTTTTGGTTGCCCTGGTTAAACCGCACCTGAACCAAAAACCGCCCGGTCTGTTTGCGGCTAACCGAAGCTCTTGGGGCGGTCGGTTGGCGGTGGTCACTGGTCAGGTCTCGGTTTAACCGAAAACCGAAAATTTGGTTTTAGGTTAAACCGAAACCGACCGGTTGCCAGCCCTACCTACAATCAATCAAGATCGCCAACACAACTTTTTTTTGAAGCAATTGACGGCTATAAATAGGGAACGGCTACGGTGCTAATTGTACAATAGTTAGCACCGTCCTAACCAAGGGAAAAACTACTACTAGTTTGAATTAGTAGTGATTTAGCTTAGATGTTGTATTGATTTTATAATAATCCGTAGTGATTTCATTATTTTTAGTAGCGTTTTTTGCTAGTTATCACGGTGCTAACCCCTGTAAGGGTTAGCACCTAATCCCATCCTTATAGATACTCTTTTCTTTACCTTCCCTCAATTGCGGACCAATTGTATTATTTCCAGCCGAAGTACCGAATGAAAAAATATAGATGCATTTATAAAAGAAAAACTACGCTGGGTCAGTATATCCAACGCTACATCAGGCTTTTTGCAATAAACATCACAAAATAGAACAAACAACAATAGAGGTTTGACGGTACAAACTTTCTACATTGAATCGAAACTGGAAATTAACAGCAGAACTTACTACATACAATCAAGGCAACTATAGCCAGTTTGCATGGAACTGAAAAAAGTGGATACCCAGCGGCTTCCTCCTATGTATATTACGTCAGTTAACTCACAAATCTAACCTACTAAAACAGGCACGAAAGCAAGTACCAGAAAAAGTGAATCCACCTGATTTGTAAGTAAGCGGATCCAATACTTACTTTGACCCATCTTTGTAATTACAAAGAGAGGAGATTTGGCGGCTATCCCCCTTCCCAACACTGCCTGGAATATTACCGCATGCTGCTTCCTCGACGGGAATGAGTATGCTCTCCTCTTCATTGCATCACCCACTAGCAGCGGTATAGAGTACGAATTGAGTATCACTACATTACAATATACTAATGTCCCGACAGCTGGGGCAGTTCTACTGCTACCAAGCAAATTCATCGGTTAAACGATGCAGCTGAATTGTCGTCATATTGTCCCCTCCACGCGTTGCCACTGTCAGTTCCGCTGCAGGCTTGGTTGGGAACAGGCACATTACCAAGGTCCCCGTCCAAGCTCATCTGTTGGACTTCGACGGATGAGAGTATCTTTATGCTTTGTACACAACTCACAAACTCTCTGCATTTGAAAACATGTTTTATTGAGAGGATGAATAGAAGCAAATACATTATTACAGCAATAGTGATAGAAGCTTAGTGTCTTATTGGCACTTACTCCCAAGGGTCATCTCCAACAAGCAATATGTCGTTTTCATGATCCACGTAAACTAGCTTCCAGTCAGAACTTTGTGGGTCTTCCAGCTGCCCTTCAATACCAAACATCCGGGCTAGATCATGTCTCAGTTCATCATACCCTTTATAACGAGTGACATCAATGGATCTTCCAACAGAACCACGCTTTTGAACCTATCAAGTACAAGCAGAGGGTTAGAAATGAAAAGGCTGAATGAAGTTTAAAGGGGCTATTCAGGGATGTTTGAAACCAGCTCAAAGTATAGACATTCATACTTCTTGGATGAATGCTTCTGGACTGGGAATTAAAAAAAAAAAAAAAAAAACAAGGCGCCATTTTTTTTCAGTCGACACCCTGAAGAAAGTATTTTCATTCTCATTTGACTAACTTTTATGGTAGATTAGGAGAAGCAACCAATAACGAACCCATACACCAAAACAGCACTAGGCAAGGTGAGATTGGAATGCTAATGCATACCTTAGTATACGTTCGCATCCGTTGGGTCTGATTGCCCCACAACCCATTATTCAGAACACCAGTATCATTGATAGCGACATCAGTAGAACATGACGGTTTAAAAGGCATGTTAGGAACCCCAAATGACTGTGAGCTTATCCCAGCAGTAGATAACTCTGTCTCGATATCCCTTGGATTAGTTCCATAGTTAGAGAGCAAGTTCTGAAGATCCTTTTGAGAGTCAAATCCCCTTGACAGCAGACTATCAGGCACCAACCCTTCAATATTAGCTGAGAAAGGAAGACTGTTGTTCCTTGAATGTGATTGAGCATCACCATCCAAACCAAAGGAAGGCAGTCCAAAATTCTGCTGGTTAGTAGCACCACCACCTGGTTCTAGACAGTATGATGTTCCAGAAGAGGAAGCCTCCAATGGTTCAGTAACAATACTTTTGTACTTCAGTCGCTCTGAACCTTTTGAGCCAGGAAATTCATGTTTAATCCGGCCATCCGATTTACCATGTACATCTGGCAGGATGAGATTATTTGCAGGCTCTACAACTGAATCTCCCATCAAAACTTGACCTGCTGGGGCTTGCTGGCTTTTGTTCAAGAAATGTGGTAGCGGAATTTGACAGTTGTTCGTAGAAGGTGAGGATGTGGAACAAGATGGTGCCTCTCCATCCGTAAGTGTGGACGGTGCTCTAATTGGTGTTGGTAGCTTCTGCACACCTTGAGACTGGTTCGCAGGAAAAGGTTGGGGTTGCATTAGCCCTGATGTTGAGAAGCTGCTGGCATTGCTGAATACTGGCTGTTGACTTTGTAGCAGAGGTAACTGCTGCAACTGTTGGTTTTGCTGATATGCCTGTTTCTGTACCATCTGAGGCTGCAGAAGTGAGCTTGTGGGAGAGAAAAACTGTTGTTGTTGCTGCTGCTGCTGCTGCTGTTGATGTTGCTGCAACTTCTGTAGCAACTGAAACTGTTGTTGGTCTGAGAGGCCTGTTTGTGACATTTGTTGCATCTGTACCTGAGCCTGTGGTTGTGCTCTCTGTGATGTGCTGCTATGGTGTAGCAACTGAAGAGAGGATTGCTGCAATTGAGGCTGCTGTAGAATATGCCTCTGCGGCTGACCAGGCTGCTGCTCTTCAGCCTGTTGTACCTTCACGTCTTGCTGTAGAGCTGTCAGCTGATATGAAGTCTGAGTTGGCATATTGCTCACTGGGAACTGTTGCTGCTGAATTTGAGAATAGCCAACTGCATGCTGGAAACTTTGGTTTGGAATCTGATTACTCACAGCCGATGCCTGGAATATCTGCTGTGGCTGTGACTGCTGCTGTTGTAATTGTTGTGCATGTTGTTTTAGTTGCTGGGAGTGTGGTTGAGGTGCCTGTACCTGTTGCTGCTGAGTCAGCTGATGCTGTTTCAATTGTTGTTGTTGCTGCTGCTGCTGCAGTCTTTGCTGTTGCTGCTGTTGTTGTTGCTTTTGTTGCTCTTGTCTTTCCTGTTGCTGTTGTTGTTGTTGGATATTAACAGGTTGATGTGCCTGTTGGGAAGAAGGTGGTTGTTGCTGATTAGGAGGATTCTGCACCATCTGCTGCTGCTGCTGCTGAGTCCATGTTGCAGCTGGCTGAGGCAACTGGCTGACCTGGCTTTGTTGGTTTGTCTCGTTAAACTGGATACCAGGTGAAGATATCCCAGGGGCTTGAAAGTTGAGTAACTTCGTCGGATCATCAGCTACCAAGAAATTATTATGCAAAGCATTGGATGGAAGCATGGAGGGGAAGAATCCTGACTGAGCTGATGGGAACTGATTATTGTTTTGTTGCATACTCATCCACTGTACCAAGCTAAGTCCAGGAAATATTGAGCTTTGGGCTTCCTTCATACCAAAGTCATCAGCTAGCCATGGCATAGCTCTTTTAAAAGCATTCTCGATATCAGACTCATCATCTGCAGAAGGAAAGAAAGCAATGGTACTACCTATCAGTTTGCAAATAAGCACACGAGAGAACAGTAAATTTTGGAAATCATACAGTAATGAAAACCAAAATTTTGAAGCGTTGGGTCTTAGATTCAGATATTCTTTCACCTAGTCATGTAACATAGAGGCCGCTCTTTTTCAAGCACTTAGCACCATGACAACTCAACTAACATTAACACTTCAGTTGAAACAAAGTATAATCAAAAGGAAGTGAAAGCTAAAAGCAGCACCAAAATATTGGAGCAAGAGACGCTATATTATTGTGTAACAAAACATGATATCCCGTTAAAGCTCAGTCACCAAAAGACAAGAAAAAGACCAGTTACCTGGCATTCCAGGCTGTTTAGGGAGCCTGGGTCTGAAGAAGGGGGGTGGGCATATGTAGAATGGGGTAACAACAGGCTCAATGTCCCATACAGAAACTCGACTGGGTCGTTCACCAGCAGTTGATTCATCCCAGCCAACCTTTGGATATGGAGATACATGGATTAGCCTATGAAAAAGTTAATATTTGCAGGAATCAAGCTCTAGTTATCAATCACCAAGCTCTAGTTATCAATCACCTCTGACTTAGAGATACCAACAATACCTGAAGATTGCGCCACTGTGAATTTTTCCACCGCACAGGATCTAAATCACTAGTGGCTGTCACTGTTCCCATGTATCTACGGACTCCTGACTCTTCTGTCTCAAACATCATCCTGAATCTCATTCCAAGAGATACTTGTGTATACATTGCTTTATTATACTTGGAGAAAGGAATCACGAACTCAGAAGGGCTTGCCCTGGTTAAGATCAGTTATAATTTCAACAGATAAAACAACCTTGAAATTTTGGGAATGTGGTGTTTACAGGACAAGGTGGAAGAGAAATGAACAAGAGAAGCAGCAGTACCTAGGATTATAGAAGACAGTGAAAGGACTGTGGTTGGCAGCAGCATGAGCTGCAGCAGCAAGAATCCCAATATGCATGCTGTCGCTTGATATGACCGACGAGGAGAGAGGCGGTTGCTGCCTATTTGCACGTCTGATACCCAAAAGCAGCTGCTGTTTCTCATCCCTATATCAGATAACAGTGATTTCAGCTTCAGAGGATAATATCAAAATGACAAAAGCATCACCAAATCACCGACCCATCCATCCCATACCTAATGAAGAGAACTGAATCGCCGGCAAAAAGTCTTTTAGTGCTAACAAACACACTCCATCCTGTAGTAAGCAAATGTCTTTTTGGTTGGCCTGCCACAGACAAGACAGCATTCTTAAGGTCGCCAACCACCAATGGGTGAAAATTGCAAAGTAGTTTCAAGTTTCAACAGTATGAGATATGTGGAGAAGTCCTAATCTGTTTGTTGGCTAAGCCGCGCAAAATTGTGGAGTTGCATCTCAACAGATTCATGAATTTTATTAGTACCTCACAAGCAAGCCCAGAATGTCTCTTTTATATCAACTGTGCAAACTTATCAAGTTCGGAAAGAGGATTTACCGCGATAAATATGCCTGAAGGTCCATGCACTGTCATGTAGATCTCTGGCTACTAGCTCCTGGGCAGGTGGTTGCATTGAGTAATCCTGTTTCAACATGAACAAATAAGGGGGAGAATGGAAAGATTAATACCACATGCCACAAAGAACAGGAGGATCTCAAGTTGTAGATTAAAGAAGATGGCACTCACAAGAGGTGGGAAGATTTTCTCTGCAGCTCTTCGAGGCACAGAGAATCCACCATGAGTGCTTGTATCACTAGCTGTAAGCGTTTTACAGAAGAATTCAGCAGGTTGTCTATTCTGCTTCAGGCCCATATCAGATGCTATCAACGCTTCCCTGTCACACTGGAATATACACCACGGTGCAAATGTTCAGTTTGGTAACAGAGAGACATACATGATGATGCTCTTTTTCCAGCAATCTCCTACGTTGATTACAATACTGTTACAAAATGGCTGACCTACTTTGCTTACGGGTTGAAGGGTCATTTGTGCATACACCTCATCAGTTTCCGGATCAGCCTGATCAAACATAATTGCGAAAAATGAAACACACGGCAGAAAGAAAATTAGTACAATTTCACTTTCTTTTCCATCCTCAGATCATAGCCACTTGCTATCTGCAAACAGAGGAAAACCAACCAGCACGAAGCATGCAAGAGAACTAATAGCAAGGTACATTAAAAACAGAGTACAGAGCATTATTTCTCATACCACCCAAATTGTTTTTCCTTAAGGAAGTGATAGCTCACTCCACTCACAGTTCACTAATCATTAATACTGCACAGAAACAAAACGAGTACAAGAACAATGGAGGGGATCATACATGTAAGGTGACATTATGAAGCATGCAAATCAACTTTGAAGGAAGATTTGGGTAGTTTGGTATGCAGTCTGTCTCCTTCTGCATAGATGCAGCAACCTGAAAAGTTTTTTTGTCAGACAAAAATGGTTACATCTGATACGAAGCATCTACCAACCCTGCATTTTAAACAGTCTCGTGGAAACGAGATTTACCTGCTCGCTATGGCCTTGAGGAAAGTAGACAACAAGACTTCCAACCGGAGGCATAGAGACCAACGGGCCAGCACAGGCATGCCATAACTCTGAGTTAATAATCTTCCTTTCGCCTGTTAACAAAAAGTAAACAATGTCACAACACAAACCCAAAGCTGAGCAGTTGCATGAAACTCCAACATTTCCTTGTTCATAGCAGCTATCTTCAAAGTAAAATGCCAAAAGCAACCCCAGCTTGGGGACTCCATTGACAAAATCCTACTCAGTTCTTCCTCTCTCCTCTGTTTTTTATTTAGGTCTTTTGTAGTTGACTTGGAAGTTCATAGTCTTAAGAGCAATATACCGACCATTTCACCAGAACTTTTACAATACAGGATCTAAGCACTGTTTGGTCCAGCTAAAAAATATTTATATATACGAGGAGAGAAACGCTGTGGACATCAGAACCTAAACAGTTGCTAAATCCTGGAGAGTATTTATAACCAGATAATGCCAGAGCGATGTTACTGAAGAAAACGCCAGCCTACATGTTTCTTTGTACTGATCCACAGAGAGAAATGGGTAGAGCTTGGGAAGTTGAAAAACTTGAACTCTTCCAACTTTATAGTCTAAACTGTTCTAGATCAGATAGCAGTGGAACACAGCATGTATGTTTCACTACTTCAATCACAAGAGAACTGAAACCATAGATGGGCCGAATGGAACTTAGTTTAATTTATGCACAGCAGGAGATCATTGAAGAGGAGATGAGAAACGAGATTAAACCAAAATCAATCAATCCGGGGACATGGGATATATATATATGTACTTGGACTGTAAATGGCAAACACGACCTGCTTCAAAGGCATCCCTTACTAAAATATTGGTTTCTTTTCTGTCCAAAATTACTTGAAAAATACGAATGCTTCAGCTCTTTTACAACAAGATGAACCCTTGGGAATTCAGGGGGAAAAAAAGAGAGACATTGACCTTTGGGAACAGATTACAGCTGTTGCCATCCATCTATTGAGGGTTAAATTTACTGTCAAAGCTATTTCCGTGTTTTTTTATTTGAATAGCCCACTCCAAAGGGAAAATGGAAAAGTTGGTCGGAAAGCTATAATTAGAAAGAAATGTAGGCTCAGATTTCCTTGTTTCTTCCCCTTTCAAGCTGAAGAAATTTGAAGGAGACGAACAGTTATTGAAATAAGGGGGCAAATCTCTGGGTTTTCCAAATGATTTTTGACGAAGAGACGAAAATGAAAACAACCGATGACTCCAAAAGAAATTCAATCGGGAAGAAGCAAAAACCAAAATCCATAAAAAAAAAAGGGAGAAGCCATAATCCAAAAACAAGCAATGGGGGCCTACCTTCAGCAGAATTTGGCAGGAACCCATTTGAAGGAATCTTCATTTTGTTGCCAAAGATTTCAACTTTTGCCTTCCCTATTTCCCAAATCCAAAAATAACTGTCACTACTCACTACTAGAGGACGAGCTCCAGCCCCAGAAACACCATTTTGCCAAAGGCTTCGCAGCAGCAACAGTGAAAGTAAAGGAAGCTTCAGAGCTTCAATCCCAAGAAAGCGGAAGAAGCTTTCCTTCTTTCCTGAGCTACGAAAAAGAGACCAGAAGGGAATCTAATGAGGAACTTCCTTTTTGTTGGTTTACTTCCTTCTCTTTTGTTCCTTCCTCTAACAAAGTGGAAATGGAGGAATGTTCAGTAAAGTGAAATTCTCATCCCGGAGCTCACAAATCTTCGAAAAGGAGAGAAATGGAGAAAGTGAAATTCTCAGAGCCCATAGGCATCAAGCTGAAAGGAGAGACAATAACAATAATAAGATAATAACAAAATGAAGAAAGGAGAAGAGAAAGAAACTGACTTGTCGCCGAGAAAACAGAGGCCGAAACATGGAGAAGCAGAAAGGCAAATAAAAAGCAAGACAGCCTTTTTCTTTGTTCTTTTTCTCCTCTTTCTATTGTTTGTTATTTTTTCATTTCTCCCCGCTCTTAATTTCTGACAATTTTTCCAGGGAACAACCACCAAGCCGACATATAAGCATATAATGGACTGAGACAGTCACCGCCTCCTCCTCTCCCTATTCCGGTTAAAAAATTAGCAAATTGTAAGAACCTATTATTAACAGCCAATAAAAAATCAAAAAATGGCTAAACTTTGTTATGTTCTTAGCGGACAACAATGTTGGCTCTGGTCGTCTCATTAAATTCCCCAAGTATAAAATTCACCGCAGATTTCACGTCAATTGATTCCTCCACTAAGGTACTTTAATAATCACCAAGCATATTGCTCCCAAAAACCACTAAGCAAGCACTTCCATCCCCTTTTCCAATCACAACCGTTATTTGGAATCGGAGGCTCCCTCGCTGAAACATCAAACATCCAAATTGATATTATTTAGTCCTCATATTTTAGGTGTTTTCAATCGTTTATTGATTCTCATTGTCAATATATTGTCGTCATTTGCATCATGAATTCGTTCCTCGAAGCATTTCATGTCATTTTAGAGGTGCATTCGACGATATATGCATTTTAGGCATAAAAAAGGTCACAAGTATAGATAGAGTCAAAATGGAAGATCACGAGTGTAGAAGGGCCAAAGATCATGGCTGAGAAGAGGAGCCCATGAACTTCAGCTAAAGATCGCAGCCTCCATAGAAAGATCGCGATAGCGATCTTAGAGAATTCAACCGTGAACTAGACGAAGCGACAACCAAGGTAGACAGAAGGTTTCGACAGTTGATTCGCAACCTTCCACTTTCGAGACTGCGATCTCCCGTGTAAGCAGAGCCACAACGTCGCTATCTCAAGATCGCGGCCTCTCCGCTGAAGACCACGACCTCTTCTTCTCCAACCTTATAAATAGGGGTCTTTCCCCAATTCATAAGTGACTTTTGGCATTTTTATTTTTTTATTTTTATACTGAGGTTAGAGAAGAAGTAGAAGGTTGGAGAAAATGATGAGAAGAAGAATTGGAAGAGAGCCTTGAAGGAAGATTTTCCAGCAGAAGAAGACCCTTTTTGTTATTTCTCCCCCTCCCCTTTATGGAGTAGTTCATCAAACCTAGCCTAGGGTTTGATATATAATTGGATATTTTTCGCTTGATTTGTGGATGATTATGAGCTTATTTATCTATGTCTATTTGGTGATTGTTCTTTCTTTACATCAAATAGTGTGGGATTGTTTGTATCTCATTTTTCCTAGTTGCAACTTAGGTGGTAGGGAATTTATGACCCTCTTTCATGTAATTTTTGAATGAATTGTGTTTGCCTACAGTTCTTATGCTCCATCTATGATTGTTATGCTTTGGATTTGCCTCTTCATGTATTATCTATGATTTCCTAGTTAATTAGGGTTTGATCTAGAAAATGATGGCAATGGGGCGGGGGCATGAAGGGTACCTTAATACCCATGCCCACCCCAGGCTACTATGGGTCGGGGCGGGTCGACCCACTCTTAAATGTTATATGAAAAAAATACACTCAAAATTTTACGTTTTATGATAAACATTAAACAAGGGGGAAAACACTTTATGAATGAAAAATAGTGACAATAGAACAGGTAATTAAGTTTAACAAGTTGAAAGGCCGAGTATGACTAGTTGATGAAAAGTCGAAATATGAGAAATATGAATAGATATTGTAAGAAATGGAGGTAAAATAGGCCAAGAATGGGGCAGGGTGGGTTGAAAGTAGATACCCATGTCCCGCCCCATGCTACTGCGGGTCGGGTAATACTCACCCTATCGTGGGTCAGGTCAGGATATGTGTGGATTGAGCAGTCTTGCATGATTTGTTTGGATGTTGGATCTAGGAGTTTAGTATGGTAGGCGAGGCGATCGTACCCCTATCTATTAGGCGTCAACCTAGGCAATGATAGGGAGTCAAGTGCATGACCATCAAATTAATGGCCTAGTGTGTAGATGGGTAGAACCCATTTAGAGGAGACAGGTATATAAATGCATCGTGAAGCTAGCTGAAGTGACATTGGGCTAGTGGATCGATGTAGGAGAGGGATTGGTTGCATGACCATTGAGCCAATTCTCGTATTAGCAATCTCCACACCTCGATTACCATGGATCTTCATTATATCTTTTGCATGCTATCTCTAGTGGTTAGGGCGAGGGAGGCACCCTAAGTACCTCTTATCTCATATCATCCTCTTGTTCATTAATCTCTAACTTTCCATCGGCTCCGTAACAAGTCGACTGGATAAAAACTGAGTCAAAGTAGCCTAGACTACCATTACCCATGGAATATGACCTTGGTCAGCTGTTGTACTAGCAACACCATCTTGAGTTATTCTTGGCTCAACACGGATTTAAATTATGACAAGCACAACACGGATCAAGAAAATGGCTATGTTGCTCGGGACCAATGGTAACTAGTTGAGAGATTTAGGTTGTTAACTTAGTCTTACTTTCTTTCTTATATTAGTAGTAGTAGCAGTATTGCATAGTAATATATTTTAATGTTCTTTCATTTCTTTTGCTTTCTTTCTTTGCTTTGTTTTCTCCCACCTTTGCCCTTAAAGGTGTTTTTGTTTTTCGTTTGCGTAGGTTGAATCATGGATCCATATGGCTTCTCCAACACATGAAGGTATCGACGAATAACCGAAAGAGGCCATCCCGAAGCTTCATCGAGAAATTAAGATAGTTGGAAGCCATGGATTTGGCTTCTATGATCAACCTGCCTTCTATGAAGAACAACCCTATCCTTGGGGGTTTCAAGAGGCTTCCTCATACCAGGAAGACTTCACTCTACAACCGGAGACCGAGATCCCATTGGAGCTTTCCATGGGGAAATTTGAAAAGGTGTTCTCTAATGTGGTCCTCCCATCCATCACCTCTTCGGATTGCACACTCGTACATACATAGAAGGAATCCCTCAAGAAGGTGGCAAAACTAGCAGAGGTTGTTGAGCAAGCTTGTGTACAACTAGCTCACGATAATCTCTTGGCTACTACAAATATGGAGACGGTTGAAGAGGCGATCCATGAGTACTTTGAGGAGAAAGAAGAACTTATCACGAAGAGCTTTCGTGATGATGTTGAGCAAACATGTCCTTTGGGGGTATATCACACCCTTCCATTCCCAAGTATGAGCTTCAAAGATGCACATGAGAAAGGCAAGAAGAAGAGGTCTCGTGGGTGGAGATTAAATTCTCCCCAAGTCCAAGAGTATTGATGTGTTTTAATATTTTTAAATCGAAGCGCACTCACGTCAATCCTAACAAGGCCAAGATAGGGATGCTGTAAGTGGCTCAGTCATATTCCAAGGGTCACGGTATTCTAGGCTATTTAGCCTCGGTTGTTATCTAGTCAACCTGTTACTTAATAGGTGGGCAGTTGACGATTACTGACTCGCACGAAACTACACCACTATAAAATCCCGAATTGAGTCCAAGTTCTTAAACTCTAGTCGGGTGCGGTATAGAGCAAGTATTTAGATATCAACCCGGGCCAGTCTGTCTACCCCTACTTTGGTTGTTGAAATCATTATCTAGCTACAAAGTTTTGGTTTGAAAGTTTGCTAATTATAACAAAACAAAGCAAAGGTAAATGGGTTCAAAAGTTTGCTAAATATATATATATATACTTCGTCCATTTAATTCCCCCCGCCTGTCCATTTATTCTCATCGTTTCCAATTCTCAACCGAGAGAAAACCAGAGAAACAAAGCACACGCGGAGCGCTCGGCCAAAAATTTCAAAGCTCAAATTCTTGAGCCCTAGTGATCCAAAAATCCCGTAAGTAATGCCTAATTCATTCTTACATCGTGATTTATCGATTTAGAGCTTTAAAACGAGTTTTTGGTTCAGGAATTTCTTGATTTCCCGATAAGCCAAATTAGGGTTTCGGAGTATCCGGAAGCCGGATTGAGCCCAAATTTCATATACGAGCTTCCTGCAGCGAGGTAATCAATCATCTAGTTCTAATCCCTGAATTTCGGCTATTATTTAGGCCGAGGTCCAAACCGCTGAATTTAGCTCCGGCCAGGGTTTGATGTGTTTTTATCAAGAATTTGACCCGGAGCCTAGAACTAATATTGACGGGAATACTGTAGGGGATATTAGGACGGTCTCGGATTTTAATTCGGGGTTCGTTCGTGAAATTGAAGTTTTAGTACGGGGAGGTTAAACCGGTGTTTGAACGACCAGAACTGGTGAGGGATTAGCACGGCATACCGGGTTTGTCGTATCACGATAATTATATTGATGCTTAGAATTGATCTAGGTGAACTAGAATGGCATGATTAGGGGTGTATGAACTTTTGTGCTATATGTTGAACCCTGGATTGCTGTATGATATTATTGACTTGCCCTAATCGATATGAACCTTGTTTATGCTGATGATTGTGTATATGTTGCAAATTGTGGGCTTGACTGTTAATATGCTTTACGATGGTTCGAGAAGGTGATTAGGTATGATTTTTCATGATTGTTGTATTTGGATGCACAAGTGGGAAAATATATATTCCCTGGTGATATTATGATGTTTAAAGAGGATGACTTGCACGAGGGTTTATCCCGAGGAAGTGCAATTATACGACTCCTGATTTACCTATGTTGAGCCAATTATGGCCAGGTCAAGTTCATGTGCAAGTAATGAATTATGATTAAGCAAGATGAGATATGAATCATGTACAAAGATATCAAATATGAGTATTGTGGTCTCACGGTCAACTACATAGTAATTAGGGCTCCCTATGCTATTACTCTATTATGATATGTATGATAGTTACACCTCTCATGTGGTGGTGACTGAAGAATTCTTACGAGATATGACCACACCCAGAGCGGTGTCGGGGTATGACTACACCCATAGTGGTGTGGGGTATGTATGACCACATCCGACGGGATGTTGGGGTATGTATACCTACATCCGACGGGATGTGGGGTGTGTTTCCCGGGAGAGTTATTAGCATGGGAGTAGCCAGGCGCCTATGAGTAAAACATGATAAGATGCATATGCATAAGTCAAGGTGGTTGAGTCTTTTGCCTATTGGGATGTCGGAGGGCTGAGATCTGATCCTAGTGCTTTGGCTTGTTTGCTAGATGTATGGTAGTGGTATGCTTTGTTATGAACTCACGATGCTATGATTATCTCACTCAGCTATGAGTTGACCCTCTTTTATTCTTCTTCTCTGCTTATGCTATGTGTAAGCAGATCATCAGCAGCAGCAGTAGATAAGTGTTAGGTGGGAGAGGAGCTAGAGTTGAAGCCAGGATGAGGTATGGTCTTCAACTATTCTATGCTTGGACTACTACTCGGGATTTTGGCCAGTGATCCACACCTTTTTGTAAAAATGTTTTGAGAACGTTTGTCATGTGCATACTAGCTTCTGATGTAGTGTGAGATATCCACAGGTGTGGAAAGTTGATGATATGTGTATATTTATGTGGTTGTGTAAGTTATGACGACTATGATATGTATTAGTAAGGTATGCAGTTGTGGAGTATGAAACTGTGCCATGGCTAAGAAAAGCCAATGCATATGGTTGTAAGTATATATGTTTGTGATGAATTATTTTGCAGGATAAGTTGCAAGAACTGTTAGCCCATTACGCGAGTAATTCATGTCGAAATTTTATTTGGGTAAATTTTGATAATTAATGTAACACCCGAGATTAATTCCGCTGCAATTGTATGAACAATATGATTAGGCAAAACGTATAGGGTAGGGTGTTACAAATGGGCTCTCCCCTCTCTCCTCCTTTCAGCTCATTATTTAAACCAAAGATGAGCTGAGTTCACAGCCTGAGTTCACGGCCGTAAACCACGAAACGCGTACTTGAACTGCCGGCATGTGCCAAAACGCACCGCTTTGAGCTCTTCTGTTCACGATCAACAACCTTCGTTCAAGGTCTTAGTGACCGTGAACTCACCTTGCGTTAGTAACCTCCGTTTTGACTCTGGAAGCCTCATGATTCACGGTCAAGGCATCTTCTTCACGGTCATGCAATACCGTGAACTTCCTTGGTTAGCCGTGAACTGACCATTTTTCACCTCTTCTCTCGGTTTTCGATCCTTTTCGCCCAACTTTCGGCTCCGAGGCTGGTTTCACCTGTTAAATCATGAAACATACTAAAACACCAGGAACCTAGCATAAACCCAACCTTTTAGGAGCGAATTTGGCACAAATATCTAAGTAAAACGGGGGTAAAACATGTACAATTAGGCCGAATCACACTCCCAAACTTAAACGTTTGCTTGTCCCCAAGCAAACCATTTTACACAAAGGTAATATTTCAACCTACAAAAATACTATCGGGACAACTCAAAGGGCACAAAGTGGGAATTCTCAATGGCTATTGGCAATCAATACATGGACCGTTGGAAGCAATACCGACATCCACCACAAACGACATTCGAAGCCACCAAAAATGGGCAAACAAAAAGTTCTCACCTTGTTCATGGATCAATGCAAGTCACAACAAGACCACTCATCAATCACAACCAACCATGAATGGAATTCAAGTCCGAGGAACAAATGGAAAGGCAACAAAGGTTCGCACCGGGGTATGATATGACATGCAAAACAAGAATGAATCACTCACTCTCAAGACCAGTGGGTTGGCACCTTTTTGGTGCAAAATATGTGCACAATCATAAACTCTCGGCCTTATCGTCTCAATACCACGGTGGTAACCTCTAGATGCTAGAGTTCACGGGATGGTTGTCACCACTAGCTCGTCCGGAGGTCTTAGACATGGGTTCAGATGACTGGCAATTGTCATGGACATGGGAAAAAGGCTTTTTGGGTGGTGGCAATCATGACGCGAGGTTCTACATCTTCAAACTAAACCCAAAGGTTCTATGGTTTCGACTAAAACCCCTCTTTTCAACCCAAGGCCACTAGCCCCGGCCAAAATCCTTATCTCTCCTTTCCAAACTATTACCCATTGTGAACTACATTGAAGCACACTTCCTCGGTCTACCCTTGCTAGCACATTAAGGTTTGGCAGTGAAGGATTTCTAAAACAATGTGGGGGTTTCGATGGCTTGGGTGCCAAGAAACCCCGCCTAGAGCATGTACTTTGGTTTTTCGTGGCACTCTCTACTTTATTTGCCCAATTTTATTACCTCTTTTTTCATTTCTCTTTTCTTTTCTTTGTTTTTCTTCTTTTCTTTTTGAGGGGGGTACTATATAGTAAAAACACTTGCCACATATGCATTTAACGACCAATGCTCTCTTTTTGAGGAACTCACTACAACACTACACTTCATTTTTCTCATCCCTAGCAAGGACCGCACACGAACCTCCTATGTAGAACATCTATGAAAACTCAAAGACGAGAGCTCCGGGAAACAAGGACGACTCATGTTTAGACACGAAGAAAGGATTGGGGTCGTTCTATTAACACCATTAAGCTCACACGCACGAAGCTCCTAAATTGAGAATGACCCTCGAAGTCACACGGCTCAAAGGGGTTGACTAAAGGATGACACATTTCGGGACAATCAACATTTGGACATGGAATAATCGTATGCCTCCATCATACTTACTAGTGACAACTTGTGATGCTACACACCATGGTAAGAGGGAACTATCACACCGGAAGAAAACAATTGGCTCAAAGCTCACAAGCTACCTAGTTACCTAACCATCTATTCCAATTCACAAACACGATGCATGGCAATTGTAAGCAACAAGTGATCAAGTAAACACATCCATTCATTTATGCACACCTGAGATCTAAACTTTTGCCCTATCCTAATGAACGTCTCAGTCATCATCATAGGATATACTCGATCACATGCAACAAATTGAGATCAATGCTAATAAACATGGGAATTTCCCACCATCCGCCCACTTTGCTCATGCAAACATTGCTTGGAGCCCTCAAATTTTTGAAATTTGGGCATACAAAAGGCTCCAAGCATTAATCACACTCACACAAGCGTACTAGTAAACTACCCCCCCCCCCCCACACTTAAACTCGACATTGCCCTCAATGGCGTAAGAAAGGGGTAGAATGATGTTACCGCTTGGGCTTGGTGAGTGAAAGTTGGAATCGAACTGGGGTAGGATAATTGGACTTCAAGGAGAGACAAAAATACGACTTGCTCGAGGCGAGGTTATTACAAGCTCAATACATAGTAGTAGTTTATGTGACACACGTAGGGATGGGAACGGGTCGGATCGGGCCCGGATATTGGACATCCGATCCCCGTCTGAACAAAGTTCGGGTAATCCCCGTACCCGCCCGAACCACAAACATGGATAGTAAATTCAATACCATGCCCATGCCCGAATGGATAACGGGTAATACCCTATCTCCGAAGGTACCTGACCTAACTGATGAAAAAAGGAAAACTATGAAACAAAAGTTGATAATTAACTAATTCTGGAAATAAATGCAAATAGCAAAACATTGAACCATCAACTAACAATCCAAGGATATCCAAAACTCTCCAGAACCAAATAGTTTGTTCTCCCACAAGGTAAAATCAAATGTTGCAATGTTTGTATAGCACTATTCCAAGGCAACAATTCATAAAGAAAGACATAAAAAGAACTCTAAATAAAAACTCCAAATTGCATCTTCATGGCATCAGCAGCTCCATTTGGGAAACCCAGCGAAAAGCACCATCTTCATTCAAGCAACCAAGCACCACCAGCAACAGCAGCAACATAAACCACATAAACCACCAGTAAATCACCAATCCTTCACTTTGTAGTCCCCCACTATCTAGAATGATGTATGAACAAGATGAACATTACTTAATAATTTCCAGCAACACCACTACAGAGAGCATCAACCCATGAAATGAAACTAAAGAATATTACTTACCAGTAACAACACATTACTCATCCCAGTGACATGTTGATAAATTCTTGATAAATTCTTGTTCTACAAAGATAAACAAAAAACAGAGAGGTGAGTTGCAGCCAACAAGATAACAAAATGAAAGAAATTGAAGATTGATCTAGAAAAAAGAAAAGAAAACAAACAGTAACCTTCATCTTCATTCTCAGATTCAATGTTTGGATTAAGAATTGAAGATTGATCCTCCAAATTAGCAGCATTCGAATCTGGTGTAAAAATAAGCAAATAAACAAATCAGCAGCTTGTAAAGATTAAAATAAATATAGGAAAGCAAGATAATAATAATTTACCTATCATAAATGAATTCTGGAGCCAGCTCCTTGTGCACATCAATACCTCAACTGTAGTATAGTCAAGTCTACTACGATGAGGGTCCAATAATCGACCTCCAGCACTGAAGGTTGATTCAGAAGCAACAGATGTAACAGGTACAGCAAGTACATCTCTTGCAATCTCTTGCAAGATTGGATACTTAATCCCATTAAACTTCCACCATAGTAAGATATCAAAATCTGCAGACCGAGGAAGAATTTCCTCATTCAAATAATTCTCCAATTCTGTTTGAATTGGTGTTGCCCTTGACCTTTTCCTTTGTTTAACATACATATCAAAGTCCAAATCTGTACCAGAAGCATCACATGATGGATGACCAGCAGAACCAGGAGTAGAGAAGGAAGACTTTCCATTTTGTTTGGACTGATATTCCAATAACAAATCACCCAAAATCTGCTTTATTTTCTTCACATTCAGCACACACTCATCAGCCCCAAATTTATCAGCATAGTACTCCATAATCTGAATTTTGTATCTAGGATCCAACACAACAGCAACTGCCAAAATTTCATGAATGGCACCCTAGTACTTGATGAACTTACCCCACATGTTTTCAGCCATCTTACAAACCACAGGATCAGGATCACAAAGCCACTCAGAAAGTTTAAGCTTCACATCACAAATTTTTGTGAAGAACACATTCGAAGTTGGAAATTTGGAACCAGAGAACAGATCTGATATTTTGCTAAAAATATGCAACTTTTCACAAATCATGGAGGCAAACTCCCACTGAGAAGCCGTAGGAAAACAACAATATTGAGAATCACGTTGTTTCAACCTAACAAACAACTCCTTGTATGGTAAAGCAGCAGCAAGCATGAAATAAGTTGAATTCCAACGAATAGGACAATCTAATATCAGTTTTTTATCAAGAGGACATCTTCCATTCATTTGCTTTGCTGTCTCTTTAAAAAACTCGACTCTTTTAGGTGTTGCAGACCAGTAAGCAACACTTTCACGAATCTTTTCAATTCCATCTTTCACCACATCCAAGCCATCTTTAACAATTAAATTTAATATATGGGCAGAACACCTCACATGAAGCAAATCACCATCCCTCAACAAGTAAGACAATACCAACTTCCCCTTAACCTTCTCAATCATAGCATCATTGGTGCTACAATTATCCAAAGTTATAGTAGATACCTTAGTGTCCACATTCCATCTCATCATGCACTCGGTTAGATAAAGGCCAGCCTATCACTTGTGTGAGGGGTTGGAACATAAAGGAAACTGCAAAACAGAAGAAACTTGGGTTAGTTCAGTGATTCTATGACCCAAATACAAACTAAAGAAAACAAAAATTAAAAATTACACATCATACCTAAGAATGCGACTTCGAAGAGTCCATGAATTGTCAACATAATGGGCTGTAACAGCCATGTAACCCTTTTTCTGGTTGCTTGCTGTCCACATATCAGTGGTGATGGCAATTCTTCCCTTATTGTTGTCAATCAACTGTTGAATCTTACTCTTCTCATGAACATAGATCTTAAAAATCTCCTTCTTCATAGTTTTCCTTGATGGAACACTAAACAAAGGCTGAAGAGAGCACACAAAACGTTTGAAGTACAGATGCTCCACCAATGACAAAGGATACTCATGCATAACAAGGGCAATGGCAAGCTCATTTCTAGAAACCTCATCATCAAATTGACTTGCTACCATTTCCCATTTCCCCTTTGCAACAAAATTAGGACCAAGTACTTTTTGTTTTCCTTCTTGAATCCTCCTCTGCATACAAGTCCTAACATGACTTTTCAAGTGAGAAGTGCCATTCCCAGATTCACCACCAAGCATCTTCTTACAATAGTTACACTTAGCTTTAATTACACCCTTAACTCTTATTTTCGTAAAGTGTTTCCACACTATACTTTTAAGACGTCCCAACTGAATTACCTCTTCTTCATCAGGATTTGTTTCACTGATATTGGCAGTCGGTTGTGCTTCAAGACCTTGCTGATTGTTTGCTGCCTTTTGTGCCGAACCAGGAACAATAAGCACAGCTTCTTGACTTCCTGGTTCTGGAGCTACGTGAGAAGCGGCAGCACAATTTTGAGCCATATTAACCTGCAATAAGTGGCGGAACTAGATTTGAATAAAAACCCAGAATTCAAAAAAATGCAAGAAAGAACAATTACCAAGTTGTTCTGGTCAATACCCAAATAGAGATTAGAGAAGTCTAACCTTAGAGGATGGAAGTTGTGTGCATGGAGGCAGGCTGTGGCAGTGGGGTTGCAATTCTCTCTTGAGTAGGGATTGCTTTTTTTTTCCAATAAGGAGATGGGATTTTAGGAACCACTGAGTTGGAATTAAGATCTTGAGCCATATATATAGCCAGCGCCCAGTGGCACCCATTAAAGAGCTTTCTCGATGCTCTATCTGCTTCATCAAAGCTCAATGTTGAAAGCTTGGGAAAGAAAAGGATATTTAATTTCTATCTATTGCAAGGTTAGGCACGGGTATTGGAAGATGGGAATTGCATGCTCTAGGAATTCAATGGCAAAGAGAAGATGAGAGGCCATTGTGTTTTCCAAGTTCATGCTTCGCACGGTGTTTATTAGGGCATTGAAGTGGTGCAGTTCATTTTGTGGAGTAAAGGAAGGAAGATAGGTCTCGGGTAGGGTTCGGGTACGGATTCGGGGCGGATAGTATGAAATCTGTCCCCTACCCTTCCCCGGTAATTAATGTTTCGAGTTTTATCCATCCCCGATCTGGATCCATTCAACACGGATTTTATCCGGATTGACCGGTTTGGGTTCGGGCGGATAACCGGATCCATGGATTTTCCTCCCATCCCTAGACACACGCACACAAAATGAAGAAAAATAACAAAAAACGAAAAGAAAACGAGTTCAGGCTTACAAGTAGAGAAGTGGGGCGAAAGGACTCCGCTCTGCCACATGTCTCACTCGTCGGCTTACTCTCTCCGGTGTAAGGACCCTCTACACCATTGGGTAGGATACCCTGGTGTCGAGCCATAAGCTCGAGGATGTCGGTCTGCCGGTCGAGGCGGGATGAGAATCCCATGAAGTTTGACTCTAGGCGATCCACCATCTGGACGAGGGGATCGCCTGCTGGTGGTGGTGGTGGTTGCTGTGCAGGGCGCTGGAGCGCTGGGCGGCGGCGGCTGGGTGCATGAGCAGGTGGCTGCTCGGCTGCTGGCGGGACCTCGGGTTCAAGCTCTACTGAAGTTGGTGCAATTGCAGCTCGGATGACTCCGGAAGGTCAGATTCCGTCAAGGTACTCCACTCCTCTCTCGCCTTGGAGGCTGGGGACGACGGATCTGGTGAGCAGAGTTTGGAGGATCCTCCACTGGGTCTTCAGCTTGACCGCATTGGTGCGGCTCCCCTCGAACTCGTCCTGCTTGTGCTCTGCGTGGCAGAAGGCACGGAATGCACCCTGATAGTTGAAATCGATGGTGTACTGTCGCTCCTTCATCGTTATCTGGGCTTTATCGAGCCCCATGGCCTGTGCAAAGGCATCATAGGTCAACACTAATGGCTGACCTCCCAGCATAAACTCCACCCGTGGCCGGCTCTTCTTGTTGGCCGGGACGATGTGGGAGAAGGTGGAGTAGAACTCCACGCACAGCTCATGTAAGATCTCCTCGTCCATGGAAAAGAGCTTCCGCCACTGGGGGGTGGCTGAGCACTCCCGTTATCCTGGCTCGGCACCTGAACAAGTTGAACATGTCCAGGTCCAGAGCCAGTGAGGCCCAATGGGGCTGCCACTCTGGTAGGCGAAATTGTTGCCGAAGTTCGGGTGGTTCACCAGATAACTGATGAACTCATGCTCCAAATTAAGCATCCTGCACAAATACAAACACACACCATACGTGGAAATATTCGTCAAATAATGCTCATGCGGAGGAAAAGAGATTGCCACCCCCCTCCCCCACCCCCACACTTGTTTTTCCACCATGGTTATCAAACATTTATGCTCAAACCACCGTGGCATGGTTGTGGGTATTTTATGGTTCAAGCACACACAAAGTTGAACCACAACCCTTACCAAGGTGGCTGCCATGCATCCACCAAACAATAATAAACTCCACTTGCATTCAGAACATATTACTTGGTGGGCAAATTCTAAAAATAAACACAACTCGGTTCATACACGCCCACCAAGGCTCACTAAGCTCATGCAAAAATCAATCCATCATTTAATCGACCTAATTCACCTAATTCCTCGCCCTAAATATAGATTCAATCATGCAAAGCACAAAAATTCAACCTCACTTCACTACCTAATCCGATTCTCCACAATTCACAAAGGTAAAGTCGAAAAAAAAACTTGTAGACTCAAGTAGGAAGAAGGAGGAAGTGAGTTGCGGGCGGGGACGGTGAAAAATGGTCGGAAAACTGACCGAAGAGGGGTCGCCGGAGCTTCGTCGGAAGCTCGTCGGAGACTCGCTGCCGGTGACTTGGCCGAGAAAAATGTGCTCCAAATCTCCCCAAAATCTCAGCACAGGCCGGTTGGCTTTGGGTTTTGCTCGCCGGAAATGGGGAAAAATTGAAAAACCGACGGATTTTCGCGTTTTCCGGCGAAGATTTGAAAATTTCCGGTGAGATTTTGGTCATGAAGTGAAGAGTCGTCATTCACGCCCCTTTTATGGGTACGGCTCAGAGTTCACGGGCACGTTGCCCAGTTCATGGTCTTAGCGACCGTGAACCCTCAAACACGTGCGTGAACACGGAGTGGTTGACAGTTGGTGAACATGCATTAGAACCCAGTTCACGGACGCGTTTGCATGTTCACGGTCATATAAGAACGTGAACTCAACAATCCGTCCGTGAACAACAGTGAAAACAGAGCACTCCTGCTAAAATTTTGACTCAACCTATTTCTCCGTGCCTCCTAATCGATCACAACACAACCATAAACCGCAAAACCACAAAACTTAGCACGGGGGACACCACTTAAGGAAAAGAAAACAAACCACCTTTGGGTTGCCTCCCAACAAGCGCTAATTTATCGTCATTAGCTTGATGGTTGGGGATCGATCACGACTTCAAACGTGATGCCACCGAGAGCGGATCCACCACACTCTCGGGGCGAGGCTTGTAGCCTCCCATCTTAGGTTCCTTGAGTTGGCCCTCTTGGTTGTCCAATATTGCTTCGGCCTCCCCCATCTTCCGGGTCAAAACTCCCTTCATCCTTCTCCTCCAAGCATTCATCCTCGATCTTTTGGGCTTAGGACCCTTCTTAACTTCCTGCTCAACATCACCAAAAGCAACACAAGTAATGGTGGGGTTTGCCTTGAGAGGCTCTCCTCCACTCTCATTCACATCATTTGAAACTACTCCTTTCACTTCATCACTCCTAACCCTAGGATCAATTTCAAGCTTGATTCTCTCCTTAACATCCCTCAAAATTAGGATGCCCTCATTAACGTCTATCAATGCCTTGGCGGTTGCAAGAAAGGGACAACCGAGGATGAGGGTCATATCCGAGTCCTCACTTATGTCGAGAATCACAAAATCAATCGGATGGCAAAACTTGCCCACTCTCACCATAATGTCCTCCACGATACCTCTCGAGCTAATGACTGAACGGTCGGCTAAGGTGATGCTAAGCTTAGAGGTCTTAAGTTCACCTACTTGTAACTTTTTGAAAAGCTTGTAGGGCATCACATTAACAGTATCTCCTAGGTACGCTAAGGCATTGTCTATATGATGGTTGCCAATATCAAGAAGGATAGTAAAGCTACCTGGGTCAGACCGCTTTTTGGGAAAGCAGTCGAGGAGGTAGGACGAACACTCCTCAGCAAGAGTCACGTTGGCGAGGCCTTCAAGCCTTGGCTTCTTGATGAGGACTCCTTTGAGTTACTTGGCATATCTTGGCATTTGAGCCATGGCTTCGAGGCACGGGATGTTGAAGTGGAGGTTGCGGAGCATTTCCATGAAGCCTCCACACTTGTTCTCCAACCTCTCCTTATACATCCTTGTGGGATAAGGAAGAGGTGGTGTGTATCCATCCACCGGCAAAGTCTTCATTGCCGCCTTCCTCTCATTCCTCGAGGGCTTCCTTCTCCCTTCTTTGGGTTGGTCACTTCCTTGTTGGTATCTTCCTTCTCCATCACTTCATTAGTGGTGACTTCCGGAACCACCTTCACACTTCTCACTTGAAGCGCATTTACCCCGGCATGGTCCTTGGGGTTCACCACGGTTTGGAAAGGTAAAGCTCCCTTGGGTCTCTCGATGAGGATGCCGGAAAGGTTTCCGATTTGCACCTCCAAGCTTTGGAGGCTCGCTTGATGGCTCCGGAGACCCGCCTCGACCGAGGTAAACTTGGTAGTCGCCACATCCATAAATTGCTCTATCTTTTTGAACTTTTGGCTACTCGTACTCATAAAGGTGTTCACTAGGTCTTCAAGCTTAGATAGCTTGCCGGGTTGTTTTTGTTGAAACCATAGGGCACCTTGTGATTGGTATAGTTGTTGGAAGCTTGAGCCTTGGAGTTGGGGCCTTTGTTAGACGAAGGTCGGCCGAGGTTGGAAATTTCCCGTGGGGCCTCGGATTTGTCGGTAATGTCCAAGCAAAGTTGGGGTGGTTCCTCCACCCAAGGTTATAAGTATTGCTATACGGGTTGTTGACCCTAACATTTGCCACGAAGTTAACTTGCTCCTCCGGAGTGGTTGCCACTTTCATAGCTTGACAATCCGCCATTTCATGACTTGGGCTCGAGCACCAGTCACACGACATCACCGACCTTTTTCCTTGTCTCTTATCTTCAAGCATAATCTCAAGCAAATTATCCAACTTTGCCTCAAGCGGAGCACTTGATCCTACGCTTCTCACTCCCCTATCATTGCTCCTTCTTCCACTTCTAGTCAACCCCCAATCGTATTCCCTAAGGGCCATGTCTTCAAGTATCTCGGTTATTTGGGGTGGAGCCATATTCATCAATTTCCCTTGAAACAAGGAGTCAATGAGAATTTTATCCTCTTGCATTAGGCATCCGTAGAAGGTTTTGATCTGGAAGTGTTCTTCAAACCGTGGTGAGGGCACTGAAGAAAGTAATCGGAGTACCTCTTCTAAGCATCCCTCAAGGTCTCGTCCTCTTCTTGCTCGAAATGTGTAATATTTTTTCTCCACTCCGTCGTCTTCGAAGGCGGGCAATAACGAGCCATAAACTTGTTGAGGAGGTCGTCCCATGAGGTGATAGACCGAGTCGGGCGATTGTTTAACCACCTAAGTGCCTTCCCCGAGAGTGAGTATGGGAAAATCCTTAGTTGCAAAGCTTCGGCCAGCACACCATTAATTTTCAAATTTCCCGCGAGCCGGCTTGATGTAGGATTGGCGATTGGATCATAGTCACTAGAGCCGGTAGGATTGGCGATTGGACCATTAATTTTCAAATTCCTCGCTCTCAAGGCCGTGGAATAGAGCATTACTTTGTATCATAGCACTAGAGCCGGCTTGATCTCGAAATAGTTTGCCGCCACTTGAGGATGTTGGATTGGCGATTGGATGTCCGCCAGCCTTGGGGCCATATAGTACCCCATCGTCCTCGGGGCATCCTCGTCCTCCGCCGCATCGTTCAACTGGCGGGTTTGAGTGCCATCTTGCCTTTGGTTCCCCGCCATTTCAACTTCAATGACGGGTTCAACTTCCACTTCTTCAGCTACTTCTCCACTAACACCAGGACCCAAACGTTGTCCCCCTCTTTCACTTCTTCTCCTTGTCTCCGGTAGCTCTCTCTCTCTCTCGTGCTAGGAGCCGGAAATTTTAGTTTATGTCCTCATCAAGTGGTAGTAAAGGTGCCGGGTTACTCCGGGTCATGCCCCACCTACACACAATCAGAAAACACACCCAAGTCTAGCACAAGTAGAGCACACACACTTGCAAAACTGGAAATTAAAAGCTAGATTAACAACACCCAACTTTTTCAAGATAACAGACCGTGATCCCCGACAACGGCACCAAAAACTTGACTCGCACGAAACTACACCACAATAAAATCCCGACTAGAGTCCATGTTTTAAACTCTAGCCGGGTGCAGTATAGAGCAATTATTTAGATATCAACCCAGGTCGGTCCGTTTACCCCTACTTCGGTTGTTAAAATCATTATCTAGCTACAAAGTTTTGGTATGAAAGTTTGCTAATTATAACAAAACAAAGCAAAGGTAACTGGGTTCGAAAACTCTTTTGTGGAAGGATCACTCGGGTGTCGCTTTCCCCTAACTGCTACCATGATATGTGAATTGGAACGATTGCCTTTGGCACGGTAATCATGAACCGCGGAGGGATGCATATATGGTCGGAGACCACAATCTCAATTGCTAAACCGAGGTAAGCATGAAAGGCCATGTCACTCGACCCTCTTGGTTTAGATAATTGGTAATTGACTTACTCCCTCCCTCAACTCTAAGGTTGGACGGTTTAATTGCAATTACCGATTTGCTTAAGTAAACATTGAGGGTTTCCCTAGCTTAACCTAGTTAGGTGGCCTAGAAAGCGGAAGGAAAACCAACTCGAATGAGTCTCCTAGGAAGGGGGATTTTCCTTTCTAAGCTAAGCTAAGATGGCTAATTAGATTGCTAGCACCAACATGCACAAACCTGAGGGTGCTAATCACAATTGTGCACAATCCTTAGGTTGCTAAGCACCTAAATGCACAAACCTAAGGATGCTAAGCACAATTCATGCACAACCCCTAGGTTGCTAAGCACAAGCATGCACAATCATGATAAATAATGTCTCAATCATTAAATAGAACAATACCCAATGACAATCATCCAATACACATACAAGAAAACTACATGGTAGAGTTAGGGTTTCACCATCTTGGAGGATGCTCCTAGTCTTCTTGGCCCTTGAGTTGAGCTTTCCTTGGAGGAAATCTACCCAAAATCTGCCTTGGAGCAAAACTCTAGCCTTCTTCTCCCTTTGGTTCATGTTTGTCTCTCAAGAATTATGAAGAAGGCTTCTCTCACAAAATGGGCTCTCCCCTCTCTCCTCCTTTTAGCTCATCATTTAAACCAGAGACGAGCTGAGTTCACGGCCGTAAACCACAAAACGCGTTCGTGAACTGCAGGCGTGCGCCAAAATGCACTGCTTCGAGCTCTCTGTTAACGATCAACAGCTTTCGTTCAAGGTCTTAGTGACCGTGAACTCACCTTGCGTTAGTAGCCTCCGTTTTGTCTCTGGACGCCTCGGGATTCACGGTCAAGGCCTCTTCTTCATGGTCATGCAAGAAATGAATCGATATAAAACCGTATGTTACAACAAATTCGGGCGAGAAGTTTAGAAGATTCTGGCAAGTTGGAGTTCATGTTTTTTTAACTTCATGCCCTTTTTATATAACCCGAGGGTCAATATCGTGGTTTTGGTGTCAAGATCACGGTCTCAGACCATGATCCTAACACATAAACCATGATCTCTGTAAAAAATGGTGAGTTTTGGGCCGACATCATGGTACATTTTAAAATCACGGGCTAGAGCCCATAATAACAACACATGGACTGTGATGTCTTCAAATCGTGAGACTACCCTGTCGACATCACGGTAAGGAGTAAGTATCACTGTTGGAGACATCAAAGGCCGCGTGTTGTTATTATGGACCTTCTTCTTTTTAACTTTTGGTTTTGGACCCGCCTTTGAATCCTGCTTTACATCACCATAAACAAGAGGAGCACAAGTTGGTTTGCCTTGGAAGGCTTACCTCCACTAACAATAATACCATTTGATTCAGTCCCATCCACATTCTCACATTTATTATTTGAATCAATCGAAAAATTGATACTCTCCTCTCCATCTCTCAAAATCAAAGTTCCCTCATTCACATCGATGAATGCCTTTGCGGTGGCTAGGGGAGGTCGTCCTAGTATGAGGGGCATGTCTGTATCCTCTCAAATATCCAAGATAACAAAATATGTCAGATATAAAACTTTCATTGGGGAACCAACCCCAATATGTTGTCTTTTATGCTTTCCCTAGTGTTTGTGATGAAATTCCAGGTCTTATATGCATTCAGGATTGTTCGGGAATCGATTAGAGTTCATCCGACCACGATTGGGAAGCATAGGAGCAAGAAGGAGAGAAAAGGCACTGGTAACGGCAACAGGTCACTGCCCTTGACCAGGCAGTAACGATGATTGAGGCTGGATGATCGTGTTTGCGATCAGTGGCCACGAACCTCATTATGCGACCAAGATGGAAACGGAGAGTTTCCTCACCTGTATCGCAGACATTGTGCGTTTTGGCTGCAAAAAAGATTGCGACCAGACCACAAAGATCGTAGTTGTGATCTCATGAAGGAGGCCGCGATCTTGAAACTTAAAGATGGGAAAAATGCGTTGTTTTGGGTGATTCGAAGACATTCCAGGCTGGTGAAGTCCAGGTCACGGCCGCAACAATCGGTTCACGCCCTGGACGCCTTGACCGCCATCATTTTCTATAAATACCCCTCTTAATGCAGTTTTCATGGGAGAGCCGCCTTAGCGACAAAAATTAGGTTTTGGGTTGTTTTTAGAGAGGGAAACACCTTGGGAGAGCTTAATTGAAGATCCAATCCACCCAAGGAGCAAGAAGAGGGTGCAAGCAAGGAGAAGAAGATTGATCATTCCATCAATCCGCTCATCTAGTTTGTGTTTTCTTTCGCTCTTTGTGACTTGAATCTCTGATGTTTGTTTAGGGAGGATGAATGAATGGGTTTATCTAGTTGATTCTATTGTTATTCTAGATTTGATTATGTTTGGATAAGTGGACCTAATCTTCTCTACTAGCCTACTTTACGCTTCTACGATGGGTATGGAGTTTTAGGGTTAGAAGGGTATGCATCATTAATTAACTTGAGGTTAGATGTATGAATAGGGACCTATGGCGGTCGAGGCGACTGAACCGTGCTATAGGAACGCCTTCCTAGATATAACCCGGGATGACACCTTTGTGTGGATGGTGGGTAGTACTCATTGAAAGGAGTTACGAGTTTAATGCCCCAAATATGATAGCTTAGATTGAGGTGACTGAAACATGGGTTTAGGGGAGGCGTACTTGGAGGCGTGTCGATAACTACGAAAGCCCATGGAAAAGAGATCACTCACAATATTTGACAAACCCTACGTGACAATCGTAGCTATGAGGATTCCACCCTAGGCAACCGTCTCACCTCTAGCGACCTTCCAACCACTTATTTGGTTGTTATTTTTGTCTAGGAGTATATTAGATTAGACTTTCCACCAAACCTTTGAATCGATTAGATAGTAGTTCGGAGAGAAGTAATAGTAAGTTTAGGGTTCCCTTGGAATACAATCGAGCCACTTCAGTACAAACCTAGCTTGTTCATGCTAGGCTTAGTTAGGATTAAATAGAGAGTGACTTATAAATTTAAAGCTCAATCACGCGAGGCGTATCAGTGGGTCATACCCCTCAGTCTGCCCCTTTGAGCCGTATAACTTTCTTTCTTTGCGTCTACAATGAAAAATCACCTTTATGCATCTCTTAGAGGTTCCATATAGTGGCTTGGAGACACTATTGCATTGTTACCTACTTCACTCATGTGCATTAAAGAACGTGATAAATGCAGAGCAGAACAGCAGGGAAAGAAATTAGTTTGATTGAATGTTGTTGTGTTGGGTTTAGAACTGTGGAACCTTGTGTCATGTTTTTTAGCACCACCTAAAAGCCTTGTTCCCTAGGGATGGCAAAAATATCCGTAACCGTGGATATCCACCCGAACCCGGCCTAATCGAGTAGGGTAAAACCCAAACCCGAAGGACATTTAGTGGGTACGGGTAAAACCCGAACCCGAATATTGTGGGTAATGGGTGGGCATGGGTTTCTCAGTATCCAACCCGAACCTGCCCGATTATACACATACATATGTATTTTATCTAGAAATAGTCATTATTTTCTCTAAAATATTTTAAATTTAGCATATAAATATAATATTTTCATGAAATTGTGTTGTTTTAATTAATTTTCTTCTAGTGAATTATTGTCATACTTTTCCTCTTGCGTAATGTGAGAATACGTGTGAATGTAAACATATTAGTTGGAATTATGAAGAGAAATCATTACTCATGGATAACCGTGGATACCCGAAACCCGAACGGGTATGGTCATGGTTTTAATTTTCTACGCGTTTTATATGTGGGTATGGGTATGGGTAAAATCCGAACTACTTTGGGTAGGGTAACGGATATGCACTATCCGTCCCCGACCCGACCCATTGCCATCCCTATTGTTCCCCATGTCTTAGACCATAGCCAGTTGCATTTGAACCCGGTCAAGTCCTCTAGACAAGTTAGTGGCGACCCTCGATATGTGAACTCTAGCATTTAGAGGCTGCCATCATGGTCAAGGGATGATAGGTATGGAGAGTACGAGTATGCATATATTTTTCTTCGAATTTTGTCCTAACCTCACTGGTTTAGTGTGAGTGATTCATTTATCCATATTATATACCCCGGTGATGCTCTAAAACACAACACCTAACGATGGCCAAGTGTAACCAATGAAAGGGACTGCAGTATAGTGGCACAAGTAATAAATATCGAATCCACGGGTCTCTAGAGTTACTATTACTCAGCTTCAGTTCATTATCTAGCAAACTAGATTAAGGATTGATTAACTAAACTACTCTACTAATTAAACTAAGTAAAACTACTAATTACAAGTTGGGAACTCACTTAGGTATGATTCCCCCTAGCTCCTCAATTAGGTCCAAGTTGTAATTCCTTTTGGTTGTTTTACTGTTGATTAAACTGCGGAAGATCCGACAGTAGCTTGGAATCTCTTAAGCTGACCAAGCCCTCTCAGTCTAACTACCCGGCAGACGACTAGTCTTCACCGGGATAGAAAGCTGAATCAATAAGCACAGAACTCCACTACTGGAATCGGATTCCAGTACAAAGCAGTAAACTGGCTAACTCTCGTATAGCCAATCTCCTACTACCGAATGATGAGGCTCTAACAACCTAATCAGATTCTATCTATCTCAGGTTGCAGCAGGAATCAGGAAAAGTTGATCAGACTTCAATGGACTCAATAAACATGCATCATTCGATTATAATCAAACAATATAGCATCCAAAACTTCATACAAGAAAGATCCTAACTCATGGAACTAGGGTTCCTCAAAACCTAAGTGAAGGGAAGTTACTCCATAGAGAAGAGAGAGACTGCAGAAATCTGATCTAGATCTTCAATCTCCATCTCCAAGCTTGATTCCTGAGCTCCAATGGCGAAGAAATCCTCCAAAATAGCTCCAAGAATGTTCCCAAGTCGCTCTCTCTCTCTCTAGGGTTCGTCCCTTGGGTGTTTGGGATCCAAAACCCAGCTCTCTCTCTCCCTTGGCTCGAAATTGGCCTAAAAAACCCGATTCTGGGCGAATTACGGGCTGAATTACGATCGTAATTCTTCCATGCCCGTATTTTGCCCAAAACACGCGTTTTGGTTAAGTTTCAGCGCACCCAAAGCTCCTCTCGGCAGTGAAAATACGGGCATGGGAGGGGAAATTACGGTCGTAATTCTCCTGCCCGTAATTCTTCCTCCGCTCCTGTTCAAAGCTTCGTTTCTCCCTCGTCCGGACTCCAAATCAGTCGCCGTTTGAACCCAGACGCTCGTAGTCTCGTCCTCTTTCTTTTCATAATAAACTTTCATGATAATTTTTCCATTATATGAGGTAGAAGTCCATTATTCCTCAGGTCATGCTCGTGTTTCTTCTCCCGAATTGACAAATGATCTCTGGTTGACTTGAAACTTGCGCCTACGCTTCACTTTATGTGCTAGGGCCTGAAATGTGACAAAGGAAAACAACCTAGCGTAAAATAGGCCAAAGAAGCGATAATGCAAGCTTAAACGATCAAGAAACAAAGGGGAAAACATGTGCAAATATCGAGTCATCACCCGGTGAGGACCTAGATGGTTTGGTCTTTGTTTTGATGTCTTGATTTCTATGCATGGGTAATAGTTTTGAATGAGTGGTTGAGTCGAGTCTATCTTGGTCAGTGAACTGAGGGGTGACTCTTACTCTACCCGATTTTGCTGCACTTGAATGTCATCTGTGGCATAGTTGTCGAATTTGCTGTTTTTTATAAGGGTGAAATAATATTGATAACTGGAAAAAAGTATGAATACACAACCAACATAACCTATAACCAGCAAAAAATGCACCAACAACATGCAGGAAACCTAAAGCAGTTGAAAGCATGAAGGTGCTCACAAAAAACCTGTAACACGAAGCTCACAAGAAAGCAACGAAAAAAATAGTCGCTGACGACCAATTCTGACTCCAAGTATTTTTCTTGTAAATCAAACCTTAAACCAAGAACCCAAAGACTAGCAGCCAAGACTTAGCAACCCAAATCCTTGCAAATAAACAAAAAGATTGAACTAAATAACGCAAGCAAGCCATCCATCCCCGAATAGCCAAACCCTCAAGCCCCTCCAAAGCCAAACCACAAGCCACACAACAACCATCCTCTTCCCAAAGCCAAACCATAAGCCACAGATAGAAATCAAAACTTGCCCAAAAGCCAAAACAAAAGAGGCACGCGAAGGATAAATCCGCCAGGTGCGAAACCAACATGGCAAAGCAAGAGTACAAACTTAGCAAGGCACATCAGCGTCTTCACAAACTCTTATCTCAACCTCATTAGGAGGTAGAGCAAGTGGTTCAACACTTATGGGAAATAGGCAAAGCTTAGTATTTTGCGACTAGCAGTTTGCTTGATCCCTATCAACCTTTTGAGAAGCACCCAACCAATCGGCAATACTGTAGGCAATCCGGAATCCGACAACTTGAACAGAACCGAACTCTTCCTTGCAAATCCTGGAATTTGTTTCTAACCAGATGCACCAACAGAAAGCAGGAAGGAAAACCATAGTGCACCACTTCTTGGGATTGGACAATAGTCTACTAGGCCGTCTCCTTATCATCTTTGTGATATCTGTACCAGTGCGCTTGAGATCGACGAAGGCCGATATAATCCGCCAAACCTCCTTGGAGAACATGCAAAGAAAGAAGAGGTGATCGATTGTTTCCTCTTGATCACCACACAGCGTGCATCGGCTCGGGAGAGCCCAACCCCTCCGCTTCAGGGCATCCTCAGTAAGGATCAACTTTTGAAACACGATCCAAAAAAACACACAAACTTTAAGAGGAACTGCAGGCTGCTACACGACTCTATAACAAAATGAGGTTGAGCCGTGAAACTATTCCTTGATGAAATCTCCATAGAAGGAGTAAGCGGCGAATCTTGTGATTAGAGAAGGAGTCCAAACAAGTTTAGAAGGAACAAGAAATAAATAGTCAGCTAGTAATCCATTAAGCAGGTGCAAAAGCGGAACCCTCTCTGCTCCCCCCTCAAGGTAAATCTAAGAGGAATATCCCATGAAAATCTGCTCTCAGAGAAATATATAACATCAGAAACCCAGCAATTAGCCGTATCAACTGAAGCAGCGACCCTCGAAAAATCATTAACAAGAAGCCTTCCCTTGATCCACACATCCTGCAAGAGAGAGGCGCTAGATCTAGCCACTGATTCAACATACACAAATCTCCATAACATATTCTTTGTCTTACTAATTTGTGCCCAAGGGCTAGTGCCGATAGGACCTGACTCACTCTTAGATGGGTGCAATATAGGGCAAGTATGTTTAAATATCGACCTAGGCCGTCCCATGTACCGCTACTTCGACTGTTTGAAACATTATCTAGCAAATTAGTTTTGGTGAAAACAAAGGTCTAAAACTAAATTACGCTGCAAAGATGAAATGGAGTTGACACTAATTGAGAATGCTGCACTCAGGTGTTTCTCCCCCTAGCTAACAATTACAACTTGAAGGATCGAATGACCGTGTGTGGTTAGGGGGTTACAAACCACATGGAAGTCTAAGAAGTAGCCAAAGATACCTTCTTAGTCTATAGGTCGAAGAAATGGGATACGATCTAAGCCACTAATGCGACCCTCTCAAACTATTGACTACGGAATGGTTGTCAAACAAGTAGCCAAAGCTACCCTCTTAGTCTCCAGGTCGTGGACTAATTGACACGCTAAAATACAACACCAAACTGTGACCAAGTGTAATCGCAGTCCGGAAATGCAGTAACATGCATGCTCTAATTGTCAACCCGGGGTCTAGATCTACTGCCTACTCCGTGTATATCTGTTATCTAGCAAACTAAGTCGAGTGATTGTTGATTTAAGTAAAACCAGTAAGAAAGCAGGAAATGGTTTGGTTTTCTAAAGCAAAGGAAGAGTCACTCGGGAATGAGTCCCCCTAGCTCCTTAGTTAGTCACAGTTGTAATTACTTTTAATTGATTTAGTACTGATTATACTGCGAAAGATCAGACAGTAGCTTGGAATCTCATAAGCTGACCAAGCCCTCTCAGTAAAACTACCCGGCAGACGACTAGTCTTCACTGGAATAGAACGCTGAGGCAATGAACACAGAACTCCACTACTGGAATTAGATTCCATTACAAAGCAGTGAATCGACTAACTCTCGTATAATCAATTCACTACTACCGATTGAAGAAGCTCGAACAACCTAATCAGATTCTATCTATCTTAGGTTGCAGCAAAAATCAATAAAAGATGATTAGACTTCAATTGACTCAATCAAAACACGTCAATCGATTATAATCAAGTAATATCCCAATCCAAACGTAATTACAATCAAGATTCCTAACACATGGAACTAGGGTTCTTCATACCCAAGTGAGAGAGAGTTCTACTCCATAGAGAGAGATAGGGAAACATGATACAAAGCAATCATACTCATAACAATGGGAAAAATCTGCTCTGGGATGTCAATCTTCACTCCTGGGGATGCAATCTGGGCTTCAATGGTGAGAAATCCACTCCAAATAGCTCCTACGGATTGTTCTTCGCACTTTCTCTCTCTAAAACTCTGTTTTTGCTCCAAAAAGTCAATTCCCTCTCCTTTGGCTCAAAATTGGGCTAAACCCAGAAATTCCCGACCACACGGCCGTGTGGCTTTCCCAGCTGCCCGTGTGAGTGTGCAAAACGCCGCGTTTCACTTAAGTGGCTTCAGGTACGCTACACGGCCAAAACCACACGGTCGTCTGGATTTCCAGGCTGCCCGTGTGAGCTCCCTGGACTTTACACACGGCCACAAGGGGTCCCTTACACGGCCAGTGTAGCTTGCCCGTGCAATTTGGTGCCACACGGCCAGGTCACACGACCGTGTGGGTTTTTAGGCATGCCCGTGTGGCTTCCTCGGCTTCTCGCCAAACGTCCAATCTTCGTCCGATCGACCCCGAACTCGTTCCCAAACTTTCATTCACGTACTAGGACCTGAAATATCATAAACAAGAACAACCTAACATGAAATCGGCCTAAAACACGAGAAATAAGACTCAAACGGTGTAAGAATGGTATACAAAAACATGTGTATATATCAAGTCATCAAATTCCCCCACACTTAACCGTTTGCTTGTCCCCAAGCAAACCAAGTCAGATTCAAGGTAAGCTCAGCATATTTCACTCATACCAACATTGGGGACAACTCATATAGGCACAGAACACGTGAATCGTACTGGCTTTCAAACATCAACACATGAACAACTTCAATAGCAACCTGGACAACCACCACAGAGGACATTCGAGTGCAACAAAATCGAGGAAAGGAGGAGTCTCCCGTCTGTTCATCAACCAACATAGACTTGACTCAGCCACTTACTCAAGATAGTCACCTCATGCACAAAACTCAAGATATCAGAATTGAGAACGAGCAATCTAGGTCCTCACCGGGGTAAAAGAGTATAGAGAATATGAGAAAATGAATCGCTCACTCTGGACCAGTGGGGTCAGGACAATTTGATGCGAAAAATGCGCATGCTTATTCTCTCAATCCCTAACGTCTCTTCACCATGCAGGCAGCCTCCAAATGCTAGAGTTCACATATGGGGTGTCACCACTAACTAACCCGGAGGTCTTAGACACAGGTTCAGATGACTGTCTAGGTTCTTGGACATGGGGAAAATGCCTTTTAGGTTGTGGAAGTATTCATAGCACAAGGTTCCACAATTCCAAACCCAACACAATAACAGTCAATCAAACCACTTACTTTCTTTCTGCCATTCTGCATTACTCAAATTCTTTAGAGCACAAGAGCGAAGGCGGTCACATAAATGTTAGTATTTCCAAGCCAAACTGCTAAGAAACACTACTCAATGGGCACTATTAAGATTTGTGGTGGTGGCTCTCTTTTGCTTTCATTCATTTTTTTTCATTTCTTGAGAGAACCACCACCTATGCACATTTTTCAAACACATGCCCAACTTTTTTAAGAACTACCTCCAACCCTCACATTATATTTAGCAGAAACAGCAGAGAACATGTAAAAACCACTCTATGGAACCTTCTAAGAGATGCAAAAGGGTGATTTTTCGTTGTAGACCGAAAGAAAGGATAACACACGGCTCAAAGGGCTGACTAGGGGGTATGACACACCAGGATAGTCAATTTGATCGTCGGCTAATCCTATGCCTCCATCATCTTAGCTAGTGACAACGTGAATGCTACACATCATGGAAGAGGGAACTATCGCACAAGAAAGAAACGAGCAGGCTCAAATCTCACATGGCTACCTATATGCTCTATCTCTCATTATGATTCCCTGAACTAGATGCATAAAGGAATGTCAAGAACAAGTGATCAATCCAAGTCACAGTTGGTAAGCAAACAGCTGAAAATCTGAACTCCTGCACAATTCTACTGCACGTTTCAGTCATCATCATAGGTTGTCCTAGTTACAATCAAGCTGTCATGCAATAATCCGTAAACCATTCGATTCACCAATCAAATCACAGTGCCAATATGATCATGCAAACAGCGATACTTGGAGCCCTCAAATCTCGAGATTTGGACAGCGGACTAGGCTCCAAGCACACGTATATTGATTCCAACCGATACAAAGCACCCCCCATACTTAAGCACGACATTGTCCTCAATGGAGCAGAGTTAAAGAGAAAGGGGAACGATGTTACCGGATGGAAAGACTGCCGGGGGACTGGAAGTGGACCCGTCAGCGGGGCTAGCATCAGCAAAACACACTGCGTGATAGAAACCATAGTTCCAAGTGAACAAAACGAAAAACAAACGAAAGGAAAACAAACCTTGGTGGGGTTGCCTCCCCACAAGTGCTTCTTTACCGTCTTTTAGCTGGACGCCAGTAGGGTGGATACTCAGAGAGGTGAAGGAACAGGTGCCTCCAAGAGAGGATCCACATCTCTCTTGAGGTACAACTTCAGATGGTGGCCATGCACACGACGAGTGTGACCACCAGCACTCTTCAACTCGACCTGGCCATCCGGCAGGATGCAAGCGAGTGAATACTCGGACGACCAATGCGGTCGAGGCTTAGGAGCCGGGACCAGCTCATAGTGGTCTCCTGCTTCCTTTTCAGCAGGCTTAGCTACCTGCAGTTTCGGCCGCCACTCCTCCTTGATCTTTTCCTTTGGTGACGGAGCGGACATGAGTGGTGACAAAGGTATGGGAGTGGGGTCCTGCAAAATGGGAAGCATAGAAGGATACACAACAGACTCATGCTCCTGGTGAGAAACGGCATGCAAAAGCGATGAAGCCGAGAGAGTATTAGCAATGGAAAATGTTATTCGCTCCTCGCCATCCCTCAAGACTAAGGTCCCATCATGTACATCTATGAGAGCTTTAGCGGTGGCTAGGAAAGGCCTTCCTAGTATAAGGGGCGCTTCTGTGTCCTCATTGATGTCCAAGACAACAAAATCCTCAAGATAAAAGAATCTGCCCACCTTAACTAGAAGGTCTTCCAATATGCCCCTAGGATGAACTATAGATCGGTCAGCTAATTGAAGACTCATCCTAGTTGCACTGGGTTCACCTAGGCCTAGTTTCTTGGACAATTTATATGGCATGACATTGATACTAGCACCTAGATCCCCCAAGGACCTCTCTACATGCAATTTACCTATTGAGCACGGGATAGTAAAACTACCTGGGTCCTTCTGCTTTGGCGGAAGCTTACTCTGCAGAATGGCCGAGCACTCCTCGCTGAGCTCCATAGTGGCCAGCTCGCTCAACTTCTGCTTCTTTGAGAGAAGATCTTTCAGGAACTTCACATACTTAGGCATTTGAGATAGTGCCTCCAGGAAGGGCACTTGGACATTCAGCTTCCTAAGCATGGACATGAAGTTCCCGAAATCTGCCTCTAGCCTGTCTTTGTGCAACCGAGTAGGGAAGGGGAGTTGAGGGATATACTCCTTCGCTACTGGTTGCGGCTTACGCGCAGGTACCGCAACCTCCTTCTTCGCTTCTTCTTCAACCGCTGGAGATGCCGAGGCAGGTCTACCTCCTGCTTGTCTGGCCAGGACAGGTGGGTCTGCAGTTTCTTTGCCTCTCCTTGTTGTGATGGCATTACAGTGGGCATTCGGGTCTTTCAGATTAGGAATGGTATGACCTGGCAAGGTACTTGGAGCCCTCTGCGCCACTGCTGGAGCCACACTCCCCAACTAGGTTTCGATATCCTGCAAGACAGCCTGTGTGTTCCTCTCGACTCCCTCATCGCCTGGCAGTCTTCCACCGTGTGATGGGTGCTCTCGAACCACTGGCAGTGCATCGCCTGCTGCTGTTCGGTCCCTGGAATCATCCAAAAGCGATCGATGGCTGAAACCAGTTTTGATACCACCTGCACCAAATCAGATGACTGGGTGGCTACAGAATGCACACCCCGCCCTGGTGCTCGTCTCGATCTCCTCGTAGTTCTCCAGTCATAGCCCTGCTCTGCCATCACTTCAAAAAGTTGATTCAGTTGTGGCGGTGTTTTGGTGAGCATATTCCCGCCACAAACCGAGTCAATCAGCTGCTTGTCTTCCGGGAAGAGGGCATGGTAGAAGGTTCCCACCTTGAAGGCGTCGGTAAACCATGGTTGGGACACTTGAGGAAAAGACTGGTGTATTGACTAGCTTCTATTGTCACTCTATAAAATGGCCAAGTGTAACCACTTCCTAAAGCGTAGTATAGCGGGTTTGGGTTTTGATGTCACTCTAAAACGCGGGAATCGACATCTCAAACGGCTCAAGAATAGGGGTAAAAGCAAGTGCAATCAATGGTCTATCAAATTCCC